AATTTCTGCGAATTTATTTAAGACCCGTAAAATAACCTAAAAGCAAGACTGTGGATTGCTTAAGGCATCAAGGATTCTTATCCAGGACTGTCAAAGACCAAAGAGAGCTTTATCTTTTGTTAACGTCTTTAAAGGTATCGTAACAATAGCATAATACTTTAATGACTAAATAGATATAAGTTACAGGTAATATAAGTAATTCCAAACAGGTTTTAACCACCCAAGTAAAACCGAAAGTGCCTAACGGTTGTCACGATCGGCACCCAGCGTTTAGAGTCAAAAGGTTTGGAAAATGGCTCCATTTAACCACGGTATAGATAACTGTCGCTAACAAATGTAGCGGTAAATAATTATGTTATAGGTCTACGTTTATTTTGTGAACCGCCAAAGCTACTTCCAAGGCAGCGTCGTAAAGTACGCCTTCTTGCAATGATGTTTTTATTAAAAAATTGTGAGAACTTCTTACCTGGAAATGAAACTAACTCCACCGTTCGTTGTAACTATTACACACTTGTTTCTGACTTCCAGCTCTGAGTTTATAGTTTCTTATTCAAGGAGTTACAAGTGCGACCCATCTTCCTAGGATATTAGTTTGTTGACAAGTTTCTAGTTGAACTAGGTACTTACTAAGTTTTGACGTAGGTAACTTGCGAGGGCTGTAATGTCATAAACATGATAGGATGTAGGTAGCTTCTTTACGTACTTTACTTAGGTAGGTACCTACTACGAGTACGTTACCTAAGTGTGGATTCGACTAAACAGGAGAAAATATTAATCTCAGAATAAGTCGTCACTTTTGACATATTGTACCTATTTCCCATACTGAAACAGTCAATATGCCAGTTATACCAGGAGTTATTCTCGGATAGTTTGGTCGAATCGGGCCTAAAGAATTTAGCCGTAGTTATTCCAGTTATTGTCGGACTTGAAACGAGTTTGAGTGGCATATAATATACAATAATTTCGTAACACAACTAAAGCTGATTGTGTGCATATTTGCCGAACAACAATAAAAATGTGCTTAGTAATTGATTTGACTGTTAACATTTTTGCACATTCATTAATTTGTGTGCTCCAGTTAATAAATCCGAATGTGAGCAGTTGAACGGAAACATCGCAATTTTGCGACCGTTAGAGTCGGAATTGGACGCTTTGTATTTGCCGACTTTTTTTAAGACGTCAAATAGGTGTGTTAGTTTTAATTGCCATTGAATTGCGATGCGATGAGTTTTTTTTATTTGCGAGTGAAATCGGTGGCTTGCTTTTGATTCTAGTTAAATTCGTAGTTAACTTGTACATAGCTAATGCAAAAGATTAAGGCCCAGTTTTTTTTATAAATAAATACATACACTTTGCTTTATTACTGGTGTTCTAGCATAAATAGTAAGGTAATAGAGTAGTGTAGTTAGTGTTTATGCTAGTTAAAAAAAGTTGTGTGGCATAAAATTGTGAACATCCAGTATGGAAAGCTGCCAAAGAGGTTATTTTGTTGAAGAGTATTTAGAATTAGGTCAATCACACTTGAGGTTTTGGGATAATTGGTACATTTTTAGTAGTTGCTCAACTTTTAGAGGGAACTTCTGAGAATAATAAATTTATAAAAGGAATAAACGAAACATCTCCTGAAAATCTACAAGAAATTGACATTTCAAAATATGTAGATACCTAATTGATTAGAATTTAGCCACATTACCTACTACACCTTGTATTTTCACTTTGAATAAAAATATACATAATCAGGTAAACATTGATATTATTATGCTGACCTTGTCTAGCATTTTGGTGCATTGATAACATTATAAGTCTACAAAATAACATTCAGATTTCCTTTCACGTAGATGATAAAAGTAAAAACACAATAAAAAGTAATCCTGCCCTCATTCTAATAAAATGAGGCAATCGCAAGAATGTGTTATCACTGATAATTGGCTGCGACTGCCCTTGAACAGCGCTTATCATGGTGCAAGCTAATGCCAGAGTGGAATGGTGCTAATTTACACACTACTTGGATGATGTAGAACAGAAACAAACATTGGCATATCTAGGGTTCTTTTCCAGGGCCTGACCCCTGACATGCCATATCAAATTTAAAATGTAAATGTTAAATGTAAATGTTAAATGTAAATGTAAATGTAAATGTAAATGTTAATTTAATTCGTAGATGTTAACTAGTATTAAATAATTGTAACTTTGCTACACCCTTACAGGGTCAATGTATGAATGCATGTATATCTGTATGTGCTGAATATGTTATTGCAAATGAATAAATAAATAAATAAATCAAATTGGTATAGTCCAAAATCAACACCAGACCATTCTCACGGCTCCCCGACTAATATGCGCAGGGAAACAAATGAAAACAATCTTTTTTATCAATATTCTCAACAAATTGCTACATTATTACAACCATTTCAATGTCAGATTCAGTTATGTAGTGCAATAAATATGTTTTATAAGGAAATAACCAGCAACTAATGCAGTTATCTAGAGATTAAACTATTATTCAAATTAAACTATTAATAAATAATTAATATTCATGATAATATTGCATTCAGTGTTCAAAGTTTTCACAGCAAGACAGCTAATAAAGGATGGATTGTAATTTTTAATAAAAATAACATAATTTGTAAATATTATTCTTTTGGATATGATGTAGCATAGTTGCATGAATTCGAGTAATTTAATAGGAATTCATTATTAATTTAATAAAAATATACCTTTATTTTGTTTTGTACATAAAAATTATGTGAGATAATGACATAAATCTAGAAACTTTGCCAGATATTGGGAGGAAACAGAAAAATAATAAACTTATTTACTTACAGCAATTTTATACACTTCTGCTGACAGCAAAACAATGTTTTATTTATTTATTTTGATGATTTTAACATCATGTGTATCAACGTTTTTCATTCTAGATATTTTGGTATCCAACAATGTTGAAGATTACAAAGTTTTCACCAACAATCAACATAAAAAGTAACTTTATTTATTTGCACAAGTACCTCTCACTTACGTTTTATCGTAAAAAAGCTTTCAGATTGGAAATAGAGCATGAAAAACATAAAATTTAGCGTTTTCGTTCGTGCTGCATTCTCAAGACAAGATCACGCATTTATCTTGTTTTCTTTCGGCACGTAATTACTGAAGAGTAAGATTCGGTGTTTGCAAGTGGTTTTGCAGTGTCAATACGAATGGAATGTTATCAGAATCTGCGCAATCTGTATAATCTTCCGTTATCTTGGGACGGAGTGGAGTGAACCCAGCGACTCAAGCCGACTCATCACGCATCTCAGTGTTCGTGGCAAAAAATCTCTTCGCAATAGTAAAAGCGACGTAAATTATGTTCAATACACTTTACAACTCACCTTAGAGTCCACAACAATTGAATAACCAGCAAAACCGTAATCCAATAGTTAAGATTGACCACTGATCCTATTACTAGGAAGACACAACAAACATTCTTTACTGATTATCACTAATTGGTAACCACGTACAACACAAAATTTACACAAAGCGTATTTATTTCAACTTTAAACTCACACCAAACACCGAATTAACAGAAACTTCTTGTAATACAACACAAAAATTCGGAAACTAGCTCGCGTGCTACCCAATAGAAATATCGGCCATAACTAAAAGTGTTGCCACAGTACAAGTCACGTTAATACAAACTCACGTGTTGACGTACGTTTGTTACCCATTCTACAAGCGCTTCACCCCACTACCTACATTGATAAATAATAATTACAAAGAAATCATTACATAACAACGCGTTTAAATAACGTTACTAATCATTCCATCCTCTCAACTATCTTTATGCTTTACTAGCGGCCGCCCGCGACTTCGTACGCGTGGATCCCGTTTTACCCCCTTAGGGATGAAGTTTCGAGTTTTTTTTAGGGTTTTCCCGGAAATTATTCGATTTTTTCTCTCCGTAAAAACCATCCTTGGACTTCAACGAACATTTAAAAAAAGAATTGGTAAAATTGGTCCAGGCGTTGTTGAGTTATGCGCTTACCAACACATTTTGCGATTCATTTTTATATTATAGATTAGTTATTATATTATGCTCACTACACATTTGCGATTTACAAAAACATTTTTATCTGTTCGTATTTACACATCACATGATGCTGCTGAAAATCCAATGTTAGTAGAACGTGTCAACTCATTAGTATCGCAATCCATATTTTTTTTATTTAACTTTTCCTGTTACTTATTTAACTAAGCGAGGAAGAGGATAAAACAACAGGCGTTTTGTGTTCAATTTTACCCGCTAAATATGGTATCTTTTTCTAAACTGCAACACCAAGAAGCTGTCAAAATATAGTCGCGTCGCGTTCGGATACTCACAATAAATTGTATGCAATAACTTTACCAATAACGTTACCGTTATATAAAAAGTTGCAAAGGGTTGTGTTGTTTGGGAAAATCACAGAAAATCCTGGAAAATCTGAGAGGCGAACGAAATGATTCATGAATAAAAATTGTCCTGACAGATGCAGGCTGCGTTCATATAACATGACCGCAGACATTTCTATTTTCCGTGCTCTCCATGTCCACGTCTTTTAAAGATAACAATGCTTTCTTTACCTATTTTGATCCCCTTACTAATAAAAAGTTACACAGTTGTTGAACATTGTTTTAAAATGACATTTCCATACTAAACGTTACTTTATAACACTGTTCAACGAGCGCGTAAGTTTTATTAGTAAGGGCACGGTAATACTATCTAGTATTACCGTGGTAAGGGGGTGCGTATTTTAGTATTGCCTACAACCTGAAACTTACATCTATATTTTAATTGGAGATTTTATTTTCAAAGCAGAAAATTAAATTACTACTGCTCCAGGTGTAAAGAAATAGCTTGACGCCTCCTGGGTGCACATCGCTTTAGATATGGGTTGGCCTCTAATTTATCTCAAAAGCCGATGCGATTCTATTAGTTTTCTTTCCTCCAAACTCCAGATGGTTGTTTCAAAATAAAATAACAACTATGTATAGAATAATGAATTTATTTTTAACAATTCCTCCGCAGCTAAACAGGTCGCAACAACAGTTCATACATTTTAAATGATGCAATACATCTTGGTTGTTATTAATATTTAAAGTTTCTTAAATACGTTCTAATATTTTGGACAAGGGTACCAATATATTATTGGGTACACGTATAAAAGTACGGACTTGTATAGACAATGTCAATAATTAAATTCCTTGTTTTTGGAACAAGAATATAATATTACATAGACAATTGAACATTTCTCGGCTTTGGAGAAGGTAATATAAAATATTGCTAGAATACCTTTGATTGTCCTTATAAAATTTCGAATATACCTGCCCCAAAGAAAAAGGGAATCTCAGCCCTGTTCAGCTGTTAAACTACTTTGCTTAGATTAGAGCTTTTAAATACACTGTGTGCTCAATAAACCCCTTGATTTTGCAAGTTTACTAACAAGCAATGAAAAATAAATGTACTTACTAACTATTGAAAACAAGCCAGGCTTAAGAAATTCAACATTCAACATTGTCCATAAAGTCGGAGAGTACTAAAATTATACAACTCACTCAAATGACACCAATTATGCAGTTTAATAATATAGAAAGTACAAAAAACGCAGCCACAATCGACTATAAGCGATTATTCATGTACCTACGTTAGGATACAGGCACATTTTGTATTAATACTAACACACAAATAGTAAAATGGAGATAAAAATCCGGGTTGCCAGGACGAAGGATTAAGCACAGTTACTGACCCTTTTCACTTTTTTGGGGACAAAATATACGCATGAAAACAATAGTACTGGCAACCCTATAGCTTAATATACGATATCATACAATATAGCTACATAATCGGCAATATTATATTGCGTCTCCATAACAAGTGACATAATTATGTAATACATTAAAAATACATCTCGAAAAATCTCACTAAATTTTAGATTTTTATACACTAAAATAAGAAATACATAGCTACATCTTGGAAAGCTAAATAAAATGTAATGAAAAATAAATGATTCTTTTCTTTAAATATAGAATCTTAATATTTACAACCTTTTTATTAATAAAGAATACAGTCAGGCGCATTTGGCACAAAAATAATAGCATTTCTATAAGTATAATGATTTAAGTCGTAATTTGGAAATATGAGCACAAACTTATATTCTTGCTATCCAAACGTAATTAATGTTTGATAAATATCTAATATACAAATGATAACATAGCAAAAAATGCATTGCAAAGAAGCGGCCGTTTAGCAGAGCCATATAAGTCATATTGTGAGAAAGTTAGTGCTACCATACCTAAAAATATTGTATAAATCTATCGGGTATTGAGGTTACAAAATAGGATTCACAAGTTGACAAAATCTATAATTAACTCACATATTCTTGTAGCCCAGTTAAGGGTAGATATAGAAACAAACAATATTTCACATCCGTATTTCTCTCTATTGAAAATCAAAACCGATTCAAGAGGTAGTCTCGTTAACTCTATTTTAGTATGGTTGCCTACAATTCAACCTGCTATAAAATTCTCCAATGATATTTCAAAATCAAGTGAAGATAAATTATTAATTTTACAGCAGATTGATACTCTACCCACTAGCACAATTTAAGATCAACCATTGCCAAGTAATGCTTTTAGTTCCATAGTAAAAAACTTTGCATATTCATGAATGCTGGACTAATCGTAGACTGTTCAAGTGGCCATTTTTAATTACGCAAACAATATATTAATAAGTATAATATGAAATGTATTTACTAAAGTCCGAACAATATGATATCGCATACATTACAATTCGATACATTTGATAACAACGATATATGGAAACTTCTAAGTATTTACCAAAATACATTATTTTAATCCTATATACGCTTTGATTAGGTCGGAGTTTATTTTAAAACGATTTTCTTTGGGAGTTGCACTGGTGTCTGACGTCACATAATGGCGCCCAACATGTGACATTCTTTAAATTGCACTCAAGCTAATATTTCTATACGTCTTATTTAAAATGTATTTTACTTAGATTATATTTATTAAGATTAAAATACGTATAGAATTTGTCCCATTCCCATCAAAGCGTATCACAATAAGAGACGGTAGAAAAATGTTGGTGTTCCATTACTTGAATATAAATTTACCTTATTTATCCGTAATATCTAACAAGAATTCATTTTCAACTTTTAAAAATCAGAAAATTTGATATGATTTATCTGTCCTATTGGAATTTCTAAAATACATATGCGTTGAACTTGAACATAAAAACTTTTATCAAACTCTTAACAATTTCTCATGCCAAAGGAAGACCGAAATATATAAAAAATAAATATAAAATTTATACACGTATCTTTGATTTATGAAAGCTATGTTTCCTACATCACTATGATATAATAAATGCACGCTGTAAGTACACAGTACAATAACTGAATCACATTTCGTATTACCTAGACAGTAGACACGTAGGTTCATTTAGCTCAAGCTGCAAACATTTTCGATATAATACATTCAATGATGGACATTGAATGAGTGAAGTTTTATTTCACCTTCACTTTTTCTCTTGTTCAATTTATTCATTTCTTTCGTGGTTTGTTGTAACTATATTATAAGTTTTAGGCAAGAATATAATTTAATCCCTGAAACTACGTTTAAAAAAAAGACATTATCTAGTCCGTAGTTCCAGAGACTGTTTCATACTCTCGTGCACTGTATTTATTGTAACTACAGGTTGTAATTTTCTGGTAAACCTCTTACTAGACTTGGGTAATCTTTTCAACCTTTTTATCTAATGCTCGCATGTCTCGTAAGTAATAACAACTACAATCTCTATAGTCTCATAGTAATAAATTGTATAATCCACAATCCTTAAGAGATCTTCGAGTTCTTAAGCTAATAGAACCTATAGTTGAATTATAATGATGTCCAGTTGCCAGCAAACTTGACATTCTTCTTCTTCCTCGGTCCCTCACTGATGAGGATCGCGACCACAGATAGTGTTCCTCCACAGACTGTGGTCATAAGCTGTGTGAACCGCAAACTTGACAAAATTGTCGCAAAATAGCAACTATGACGACTATAATAAGATGCCCCAGTTTTTTGCTTGATGCACCATCGACTGTGCTAGATTTCTAGTCTGTTTCCATGAAAGTTATAAATGTAGTCATATGACTTGATGTTGTGTTCCGGCAGTCCGAGGTAAGATAGCCAGTTCTTCTGTGGTTGAGGATTCCGGGTGAAGCTCACTTCCATCTTCGGCCTGATCGTTACTCACCATCAGGTGAGATGCAGGCCAAGAGCTTTCTAGTACTAAAATGATTCCATAAATATTCTCTCTTCACATGATATAATTGTCTTTGGTTCATAGTTCTGCAGTGCACTCCGTAGTATGATAGTTATTGGAAGTAAAGTTTTCAAATGTACTCTATTCTGGACCTTATTAACGTATAATTGCTTGGTAACTAATATTCCTTGCTGGTCATATCAGGGCAAAAATGTCTTAGATGGCGTAAAATATATTCGAATAAAAGCTGCACCATACTTACGTAATTATAAAGATAACACATCATTACAAGATTTTTGTATACATAGATAACTATAGCTCGTAGCTAATACATAATCACTAGTTATCTTCTATAACTTGGCCTCGATTATGTTCCTCGAACGTTGAGGACAGGGTTCTACATTTACTGGTAGTTAAATCACTGAAGTAACCAGAATACGAAAAGTTATAATTACACAACACTACTGGTCGTCCATTATCACTGGGCCTCTGTTAGAATGTTAGAAGAGGTCTACATTAGTTGGTTTATAATTCCCCAGTTTTCAGGCTATTCCAATAACTTTGTTGTCACCACCACTAGTTGATCTATCATGCCACCTTATTGGCGGAAAAGCTCATAGTAACAGTCAAATCCTCTACACTCTTCACGGTGTAAGTTGGAAGCCTACCAGACACATTTCTGGTTTCTTTGCATATGAAATATCTTCCAAGTCCAAACCATTAAACTCAGGGTCACACATTCAGAAAACTACATTAAACACGTCACATCACTAGTTTCTTTGCTCAACAATTTATAATGTGCTTCATCTTCTATCTTCAAGCAATCTCATTTGGATCTTACAACATTGGGATTAAACTACACTGAGTCTTCATACACTAGTCACTGAATATCTTGGCATTCACTTCACCATTCATTTGGCTTCACTGGTTCTTATCACAGTGGTCAACACTGTTGACGGGTCTTGTACAGTGGATGTAGGGGACCCAACCCCTAGTTTGAGAGGTCGAGGGTTTGAGGTTTGAGGGGTCGGGGGTTTGGGGTTAAAGGGGTTGGGGGTTTGGGGTTTGAGGGGTCGGGTGTTTGGGGTTTGAGGGTTCGGGTGTTTGGGGTTTGAGGGGTCGGGGGTTGGGGGTTTAAGAGCGCTGGTCTCCGCAGCAGGCGGTGCAGTCGAGGCAGCCCTGCGCGGGACCGCCTCGCGACCGCTATCTTTTGCCGCGACAACCGCCTGATAATTGTTCCTGAAAATTTATAATAATAATTATTTAGAGGCAACAGTGGTACCTATCTGTCTATCTAACACAATTCGAACATAGGTACAAGTATAGATCGTTACATCCACGAAGACGCGCCCCACCACTTTTTGGTCGAGGGAAGCGCGTGGTGCGGGGAGTTTGATCCGAGCAATCCGAGCGTCATTATTGAAGTGTGCGTGTGCACTTATGAATATTGTCATGTCTATGTATGACACCTCCCTAGAAACACTTTGTTTACTAATAAAAATCACGGATTAGCGGAATGCTGTATTGTTTAATAATTGGCGACGTTGTACATGGAAATATGGGCGAAATCAAGAAATGCATTCTGAAGCAAGCCCGGAGAGATGTGGCAACTGTAAATCTGTATGAAAATGCAGCTCGGTCAGCATTCATAAAAATACAAGTCAAGGTCAATGATCGAGATCTTGAACTGAACGGTTTTTTTGATTATGGAACCCTAAACCTACAATACTGACCTGGAGCACTCTTACAGCTTCGAGCAGCTGCTGTTTGTCAGCCAGCAAGTTGGCTGCTTCTTGCTGTGCGGCGTGCGCGCACTGACGTAATACTGCTGCCTCTTCGACTTTCCTGTAAATTTAAATAAAGCTCAACATCATCAGGCCATCTAGTATCCACTGTGTTTGTGCAATTAGAAAAAATCTTTCTAATTGCACAAACCTTTATTTGTGCTCACCAGTTGGCACCGCTGGTGAGTAAGGTCCTGTCAGTTGCTTGTGGCGAAGACAGTGGCGCCAACTGGTGAGCGCAAGCGGTAGGAATAACGCAGTCGGCCGTTTGATGTAGTGGTTCGAAATGCACTACTATTCCGGAGGTTGCGGGTTCGATTCCCGCACATTACAAACATTTGTGTGCATGAACATATTTGTTTGTATTGGACTGGGTGTTTTCTATGTATAATATGTATGTATGTATTTACAAAAAAAAATTATTTAAGTATGTTTAAATCCATTGTCTAGTACCCATAGTACAAGCTTTGCTTAGTTTGGGACTAGAAGCGCAGTGTAAAATGTCCAAGGATATTTATTTATTTTTTATTTTCAATTATTACATGGGCGCCGCCACTGGGGAGCGCATTTTCGTGTGAGCGACACGCTTTGGACCCGATGGCATTTTGAAACCTGCTTACGGATACGGGGACATTTATCTCCCTTATGGGGAGATAAATAAAACTAAAACAACTACGTACGATTGTGTAAGATGCAAATTTTCTACTCGACATTGTAAATAAACTTCTAAAATAGGATTGGTTGCCACAATAGGAGATAGATATAAAATCTAGCATTACATTTAATATCAGATTGTAATTAACCAATGTCATCAAACACTCACGCTCTAAGCTCCCTGTTATCCTCAGCGATCCTTGCCAGCGTCGCCAACCTTTTCCTCAGCTCTTCATTCTCTCTGCTCAAGCTATCTATCTTCTCTCTGGCCTCATCTAACTCCGGCTGTGGTTGGGGCGTGGCCGGTGACGCAACAGTCGAAGGCGTGGAAATGGGCGGGCCCAGTCTGACCACGCCCGCCGTGTCTCTGGTCAAGCGGAGGGTGGTGAGGTCTATGTCTAAAGGCTGAGGTGGGGGGGAGGATATTGAGCGGGTAGGACGGTCTTCTACAAGATGGAGCTTCACGTTTTCTATTAGAACCTGGAAAAGGGTGCAAGCATACGGTGTCAGTGTCTGAAAAAAATCGTTTTAAATGAGTTTTTAAAAGTTACGTTAAGTTAGAGCCTAACCTATAGGTAGCACGAAAAAAACTTTGAAGACATAATTGACGCCAAACATCAGACATTTTATATCTTACTAATATTATAAATGCGAAAGTTTGGATGTTTGTTACTCTTTCACGCAAAAACTACTGAACGGATTTTGATGAAACTTTACAGTATTATTTATTATAGCCCAGAATAACATATAGGCTATAATTTATGACGATCTGTGAAAGAAGACTAAATTTCACGCGGGCAAAAGCTAGTTTTTTATGATTTGATTGATATACCCAGGACCGGTCGTTATGGATATCCTTGAGAGGCGCCTTTGTCCAGCAGTGGACGCCATTTGGTTGAACGAAGACGAAGAAAACTAGGTGTCAGTCACATGATTAACACGAATTTAACGAAACCTCTTAAGCTAAAACGCTGTGCATAAAAAAACATAACCCTCCTTGGCGTAGACGGGTAAAATCCCAAAAATGTTTATGCTTACCTCTAAAGGCATGGGAGGCACCACGACCTCATCTTCTATAAACTCGGAGAGCGCGAGGGCTGTGCTCATATTGAGGGCCAGGCTGAGTTCCCTCACGCGGGCTTCTAACAACTCTTCGAACGGCGCTAGCGTCGGGGTTTCACCCTGTATAATAGAAAGGATACTATAAGAAACAACGTTGAAAACTCGATTCAATATTACGAGTAGCTTCTAGCTTTTAGATTCAAAAGTTCACGTACAGGACAGAAATGCATTATTTGTAACATGCATCCTTCATTTTTTTTTTATTTATTTATTTTAAGTATCATTATTTTATTTATCACGACTTTCTGAAGCGCTAATTACTCACAACAGCACTCTACATGACCCAAAGGTCAACCGGCGGAGAATGCTTTTGTATCATTTTGCGTAATAAAGCTTTTACATAAATAAATTACAAACTTGATTATTTCACGGCACGGGCACTGTGGTTGAATGAATTCAGCCGACTGCCGGCGAAAAAGGAGAGTGGTACTAATTAACTCAAGGTAACAATTGTAACAAATAACATTTGAGGCAGGCAAATTAATTAACATAGTTACGCTTTATTAATAGTCCCTGACCCCGCTCATAAATTGTTGTGTCCCCAGCTTTATGTTAGGGGAAACTGAGTACGGTTGTAACAGGGTACGGTTAGAACAGGGTACGGTTGTAACAACTGGAATGTTACCGAAAAATGCTCGGTCGGTGAGGGGTACAAGGAGAAGGGCATACGGGCGACTAGTAAATACAACCTTATTTGTTTTATCGCCCGTATACCATATAACATTCGAGTTGTACCCAGTTACAACCGTACTCATTCTTCCCTACCTGTTCTCGTGTTCTTGGCAGCTGTGTCCGAGACATCCATGTGGTCGAATTGGGAGTGCTGGGTGCATCCCTGACTGACTAGTTGACTCATGTCACGTCTAAGCTTGCATCTAGAACTGGTTACTGATTGGAAGTGGATTCAGCACTACTTAAGTGTCCCCTAGCCTTAGTTACCTGTTCCTGAGCCCTCGGCAGCTGCGTGCGCGCCATCCTCGCGGCCACGTTGGGCGTGCCCCTGGCGCCGAGCTCGTCGCAGCCCGGCGCCGGCTCCGACCACGCGCGCGCTCGCATCGAGAACTTGTTCTAGAGCGGTCGAGAACGTTCTGGACTTCATAGTGTCCCCTAGCCTTAGTTACCTGCTTCTGTGTCCTCGGCAGCTGTGTGGACATCCTTGCAGCCGAATTGAGAGTGCTAACTGCTAACCGCATCCCTGACTAGCTAGTTGACTCACATCACATCTAGGCTCCGATTGAGAACTAATTTCAGATTGCTAGTGACATTCTGTACTTCATGGCGTCCCCTAGCCTTAGTTACCTGTTCCTGTGCCCTCGGCAGCTGCGTTTGAGATCCATACAGTCACATTAGGAGTGCTGTGCTCATCTTTGACTGATTCAAATCACGCTTAGCAAGGTTCGCACCGAGAACTACTTCTAGAGCTGAAGAGAAAGTTCTGGACTTCATAGTGACCCCTAGCCATAGTTACCTGTATCTGTGCTCTAGGCAGCTGTGTCGACATCCTTGCAGCCGAATTGGGAGTGCTAAGCGCATCCCTGACTGACAGGTTGACTCGCATCTAGAACTGGTTACAGATTGGAAGTGCATTCAGCACTACTTAAGTGTCCCCTAGCCTTAGTTACCTGTTCCTGTGCCCTCGGCAGCTGCGTTTGAGATCCTTATAGTCACATTAGGAGTGCTGAGTACAGCTCTATGCTGGCTCAATATACATCTTGGCTCGCATCTAAAACTGTAGTGACATTCAGCTCTTTATACTACTGAAGGTATAATTTTTTACCCTAGCCTTAGTTACCTGTTCCTGTGCCCTCGGCAGCTGCGTGCGCGCCATCCTCGCGGCCACGTTGGGCGTGCCCCTGGCGCCGAGCTCGTCGCAGCCCGGCGCGGGCTCCGACCACGCGCGCGCTCGCATTGAGAACTTGTTATGGAGCGGGAGAGAACGTTCTGGACTTCATAGCGTCCCCTAGTGTTAGTTACCTGTTCCTGTGCTTTTGGTAGATGTGTCCGGGAAGTCCTTGCCTTTACTTTAGGAGTTTTGAGCCAGCTCTATGCTAGCTCGTATTTTGAACCAGTCTTAGCTCGCATCTACAACTGCTTCCAGATTAGTAATGACATTCAGCATTTGATGTTACTTAGTGTCTTCTAGATTTAATTACCTGTTCCTGTGCTCTCGGCAGCTGCGTCCGCAACATTCTTGCGGCCGAATTCGTAGGGCTGAGTGCATCCCTGACTGACTAGTTGACTCATGTCACGTCTAAGCTTGCATCTAGAACTGGTTACAGATTGGAAGTGGATTCAGCTTCATTGAGAACTGTTCTAGAGAGGTAGAGAACATTCTGGACTTCATAGTGTCCCCTAGCCTTAGCTACCTGTTCCTGTGCCCTCGGCAGCTGCGTGCGCGCCATCCTCGCGGCCACATTGGGCGTGCCCCTGGCGCCCAGCTCGTCGCAGCCCGGCGCCGGCTCTGACCACGCGCGCGCTCGCATCGAGAACTTGTTCTAGAGCGGTAGAGGATATTCAGCACTTCATAGCGTTCAACTAACACTATACTTACCTGTTTCTGTGCTTTTGGCAGCTGTGTCCGGGAAGTCCTTGCATTTACTTGAGGAGTTTTGAGCGCAGGCTTATGTTGGCTCGTATTTTGAGCCAGTCTCAGCTCGCATCTAAAACTGCTTCCAGATCAGTAATGACATTCAGCATTTGATGTTACTTAGTGTCTCCTAGATTTAATTACCTGTTCCTGTGCTCTCGGCAGCTGCGTCCGCAACATTCTTGCGGTCGAATGGGAGTGCTGACTGCATCATTGACTGACTAGTTGACTCATATCACGTTTAGGCTCGCATCTAGAACTGGTTACTGATTGGAAGTGGATTCAGCACTACTTAAGTGTCCCCTAGCCTCAGTTACCTGTTCCTGCGCCCTCGGCAGCTGCGTGCGCGCCATCCTCGCGGCCACGTTGGGCGTGCCCCTGGCGCCGAGCTCGTCGCAGCCCGGCGCGGGCTCCGACCACGCGCGCGCTCGCATCGAGAACTTGTTCTAGAGCGGTAGAGGACATTCAGCGCTTCGTTTTGGTGGATTTTTACAAGATTTCCACCGTTAGATTGAGACGTGTTTATGGAGAATTAGAATTCGCATACGAAGTTGCACATATATGAAATCTGTCTATTCGTAGTTAGTATTAGAATTGGAATTTTAATTCTTGTAAATACGTCTTTTAGGCCAATGATCGACCGAAACTTTTTGTCCTTCATCTTTATAAGTAGTCGTATCTTATAGCACAGCAACTTTTGATATAGTCAGATTTTATTGAGTGAGCTTTAAGTCGATCATTAGCAGATGTTGTCAAAAGGTTTAATTCTTGTTTATAAATTACATAATTAAACGATGTACTTTTTGTGTATAGGTACAATAAAGACGCTTTGTAAGATATAAACCTTCGTTTGATGAAAAGATTTTGTTTAAAAATACATCGTCTATTTCATACCTCTAGGCGTATGTGTGTATTATTTTCACTAAGTTCTTAGGTATTTAATCACTTTACATGATTCACTACTTCCAAATATTTTCCAATGTACTTTATTCACACTACATTACCGATTTAGATTTTAGAGCCTTGTGTTAGTAATATTTGGTTAATATAAAAAATATTGCATTAAAAATGTATTCTTATTTTAGTATTATATTTAAAATGTGTTAAATAATATTTAGAAATAGAGATTCAAGTAAAGAGAGATAGAGAGAAACTGATCTCAAAAGCATGATGTGGTCGTTTACGTCATTGTTTTAAGTATACTTTAATCATAACATTAAATACGGAATTATTGTATTCTTTACAATTTCTATCATGCTTTTGGGACCAAAGTAGTTTCTGAATATAGCATAATATTTTACAAAGCTAAATAACTGGGTAGGTCTATTATTATTACAAGTGCAGTTAGTCTAATAATGCAATGAGATGACGATGATTTCACAAACATGCATTACTCCCGCGAAAAGTATTTAATTTTAAACCAAAGTGGCCTTTCTTAGTAGTTATTTAACTCAAAAAAACACCGGTTATTATAAGATGATGCAACTCTCCCTAAATTCATAGAGAATCATCTTACAATACCCGGTGTTTTTTGGAGTTTGACAGACTTTTGACGTTTATTATGGTTTAAGTAAGATGGTGCAACCCAGCCTTCAATATAACATGGTTACAGAAAGATCACTTTAAAACATGTGAATAACGTTGTGTTAGTTTGTATGTTTTGTGATATTTTGCGATGTTTTTCTTTGATTCTAAATCACTACATCTAATTTAAAATTTTCTATATTTCATTTTCAACTTTATTTCAATATCGTCTACTCACATTTCGGACTGCGAATTTGAATTCATTCAACAATCCTAAACATGCTTTTTAAATTAAACAAGGGGATCTAATTTTGTAGCATTGTAGCGTTTTAATAATTTAATAAATGACTTATTGTCATCATCTAGCTATGTCATGCTAATCATGTCTATTGTGAGATTTGTGTGAACATGTCGAAAGTGCGAATGGCATCATTTGAGACACTGCAGTTTTGTATGCACTCTAGGGGTTAATTTGGCATTTTAAATACATAAGATTTCCAAAACCTTCACAGCTCACAGCCTTGTAATTGCATAGAACTCTCTGGTGAAGGTCGCGGGAAGTCCCTGGATGCGGGCAGCGCAGGACCGGTCGTTATAGAAATCCTTGGAGGAAGCCTTTGTCTTTCCCGAAGGGGACGCAAAGTTAGTAGGGGCAGCCGAGTAAATAACAGCATACAAAAAGTATTTAAGTATGATAATATGGACGTTGTCCTGTACCCATAGTACAAGCTTTGCTTATTTGGGGACTAAAAGCGCAGTGTAAAATGTCCAAGGATATTATTTTATTATTTGAATTTTTTTTTTTTTATGTGATAGGAGGCAAACGAGCAAACGGATCACCTGATGAATAAGTAAAACATGGCAATATGGAATTTGTAGTGTGCAATAATTGTAATCCCAAAGTGAGCACTAAATATTCACATAAACTAGTATTGTAAATATTTTCCAAAAACCGCCACCCCATTTTTTTTACAGTGCTTTGCGTTTGCCCAGTTCCCACTTTTAGACATATGTGTAGTGCGGGTAGTGTCGCATGCGGTTAGTCAAGCGTGTACTGTACCTGTGTGAGCGTCAGATGGCGTTAGTGTCGCTAGAGTTTACATTAGATATAGCGTTCAAACGGTATTAGGGCGCTGCTGCAAGAATGCGTAAGTTACAGGGTGTTATAATGTTTACGAGGAATTGTAAAGTTGCTTTGGATAATTTGACACCAATTTTGAGACTTTTAAGTATAGAAAACATATTTTATGGACAAAATGTTAGTAGCTATGTTTTGCAATGTAAAAATTCTTGTAAACGTTAATCTACGTATTATTTGATATTTGACACTGAACTTACTAATTTACTTCTTACTAATTTTAATGAAATTTTGTAAATCAACTTTGGAGACTACCACTTTTCTAAGAGTGCTTTTAATTTTTTTTTAAAACATAGTTATGTAGAATGAAGCTTTGAAATTGACCAATAGCAGTCGTTACTTCATCAGTGTCAGTAAGCTTCTCAACTGTGTCAAAAACCCAACTGCAAACTAGATCAGCCAGTTCACTACACCTTGCAGCAACACCCGTGAGTCGCACAAACCCCCTTGGCTACGTAACGCTACTTGTCTACTGCGCACGCGTACCTTGAGACGGGTCTGCGTCGATAGCCGAGCGGGCGCCAGAACACATACAACAGTTAGGGACAGCGCTCATTGTCCGGACGGCATCGCAAGGGTTGTTTAGGTGACGAATAATATGTAGGGTACACTGGGTACAGTTGTAACAGGGTACGGTTGTAACAACTCGGATGATCGTTAAGTGAGGGGTACAAAAGGAACGATATGTTAGTGACAAGTCCATACAGCCTTACTTGTCTTGTTGCTCGCATGCCCTTCCATTTGTACCCCTTACCTACTGTTACAACGGTACCCAGTCTCGCCTACCTTATAGTTTTACCTCTACGGTTGAAATTGCAATGTTAAGGTTATAGCAAGCCACGGCATGCTTAAGAATACCGAAGCGGCTACATTGCAATTTCAACCGTAGCCTTAAAGGTATAAGGTACATTACTCGTCACCTAAAGGTACACCTGCCGTGCCGTCCCGATAATGTACGCAGTCCGTTAAGGGCTGGTCTGACATGGGCTGTGACCGCTGAAGGTGTGGGATGCGAATTTGTGAAGTTTTCGAAGGGTTAAGCGGAAACGTTAATGTATAACGAGTATTTATGTAAGTAAACACTGCAGCATTAAATATTAATAAGTGCTATTTTGTAACAGCCGTGTGGTGACGGCAGAGTAGAATACATTTGTCACAACCCTTACTCTTCCCGCGGGTGTGGTAAGAGGCGACCCTAAGCGCATAACTTAGTCGGTGCCTGAAATATAGGAGCGGCACGAATTTGATTTAAATTGATTCAATTCAAGGGTTCAAAATGCCGGTAATTTCATAGCTATTGTAATCTAAAAACGTTTCCACATAATTTCCGCGATATTCGCAGACCACAGCTGCAGCGGGCCCACGTCACGACAGGCCTGATACAAACGGATGCGTTATCTCGGATGGGCTGTGGACGGCGGCATGCAGGGTGTCTCTACCAATTATATGATATCGTCGATTTTTTATAAAAAAAAATCTCTTAAATTGAGTTGTGAGTATCGATTTAACAGAATTTAATTAAAATAGTAAGACACGGGTCTTACTATTACGCGAAAGTTTAAAATCTAACGGAATTTTGTGTTGAATAACTTGCTTATTAATTTGAATTTAAAGTTTATATTTTCCTGACAACTGCGATTGCGAAAAAAAGAAGATTTTCTTGTCGCAGTCTGAATCGATCTCTTGAACGAAAGATTTTGTAAAATATTTTCGCCTTGCGATACGATCACTAGCGTACTACTTTTTGGGTAACTTTCGTTTTGCATCATTACATTATTACCTCATCAGAAAAATAAAACAGTAAATTGAAAATCAAAATAAATCAGTCGTTGGCCAAAAAAACAAATCATATTGCGCGATTTTGGTAGAGGCACCCTTAAAAAAATAAAAAAATGATAAATGTAACATGCCAGAGATGATTAGTAAATGATTTTCCAAAGTATTTATTACAAAATAACGGATAAATAACAACGTGAAATGTATATTTTAAGAAAGTTAATAAATATTTTTCAAAGTTAGTAAAGTTAATAACAAGAAAATAAATAATAGTAAAAATATTGTTGCTTATAAAATGTTAATGCTCTCAATGTATTATAAAAGTTATAAGAAAGAGATATTGGAATCTTAATTTAAGAATTATGTATGATCAAACAAAAAATTAAGTTCTTAATACACAAAAATATGAACTGACTTATAAAATGTTATGAATTCTGAGTGTGCTTTATCAAAATATCATGTTTATGAAGAATAAATTGTATTGGAAACTACAAGTTTACTCATAATCAATCACATCTTGTATTTTTATAGGTTTTTTTACATAATCAAGTTCAACTTTAATTTTTAAAGAGAAGGAAAACCTTTTTATATTCAGTAGTAAACAGTTTTAGGAACTTTTCATAGAAATAGTAAAGGTTAAAATGAATTTGTTACATCACATCACAACTTCTGTTTGTCTAATAATGTACAAGTAAGATTAAAGATGTTTTTTTTTATCTTAGGACACGTGTATAATAAAGGGTTTGCTCAATAAAATGTACGTAGATTAACGCAAAGCTACATTTCAAAAAATAAATTTAAATGTTCAGATTTTTTAAATCCTCAAACTAAACTGTAAACTTGCAGTTTCCAAAGCAGAACAACAAATTGGACACAATATCCAACATTCGTACCTGGAACTCATCCCAGGGTATGGCTGCGCATTCATCCGTGCGGAGGTCATCCGCCGCGAAACGAAGGCAAGACCGTCCGCCGACGCTTTGGTGGACTAAATGGATGTTGTTGAGGCGCCATGTGCAGGTCGATATCTGAGATAAATTGGCTGCGGTTAAGAAATTTAGATATAAAGTACTTTGAAAATAAAGGACTAACAACTTCGGAGCTGACAAAAAGGACAAATTAATACAGGTTACGGCTCAAGATGATCACAGATACATCTCTAAGCTTTTAAAAAAGGAAAAGATGAGATAACACTATCGAATAAAGTTGTCAGACTTCTTATTCTAAAACGACGCGTGACGTTTATAACTTGCGGACTGTACTGCCATTGTAAAGTCCAGTCGCCGAGTACGTAGAATTTCGTCCAATAACCCCAAGCTACCCATCCTTATCGCTCGCGCGTAATTATGTTGCAAATAGACCGGACTTTAGCATAATGCAAATGAATAAGCAGCAGCGGAAAATTGTTTTATTCGAATAATAAGATCATCAGTGTCATCACTTTCCATCACGTGAGATGCAGGCCAAGAATTTTCTTGTTGTGGATAAAAAAACAATGGTTGCATTTTATACATTCTAAACTACTGACTGACGTTTGGTATAGTCCGGGGACAAGGGACTGAACTGACTGGCATATTGATCTGGTAATTAAACCGGGTTGTAGTTTGGGTTCAGTTGCCGAACCAACAGGGCAAGAGAACCAGTTACATACCACATCCCGCCTCCTACAGGAGCTGGTGACGGAATGGTCGCTGGGGGAGGATGAGCGTTCCACCACCTCGGCTGCCACTTCTACACCGCTGGACGAGCGACCGTGCTCGAACTCTCTGCAAGTAATCATTCTCAGGTCATTTACCTTACTTATAAAAGTTACACGCGCGTTAAAACATAGTTTAGAGACGTTTAGAATTGAAATGTCCTTTTAGACTGTTGTTCAACATCTCTTATCTCCACACCTTCTCTAACCAACATGTATCGGCAAACATAGCATAGAACTTGTTCGATAGACTGACTTCTTTAAGAAAATAGCTGGCTTAATAAAGATCGTGTTTTGTGGCGTTTCTTGGACGACCCAAGAGTGAACTGCTATAAGCTGTACATTGATAAAATGTTAGTCAGGACTGGCGAGTGGCGGTGACGTCATTAGCCGCGGGTGACATCACTCTACTTGCCTGAAGGCGACGTCAGCATCATCGAGCGACTCAGCCGCTAATCCAATAACAGCATAACACTCGCTGTCGGAACTGGCTGTGGAAGCGGCGTCGCTGCGAGCGTCGTCGCGGGTCAGCGCGCTGTCTATTGACGTCACCAGTGACGTCAGGCCGCGGGTGACGTCATCAGCAGCGGGTGACGTCACGCTACTTGCCTGAAGGCGACGTCAGCGTCATCAGGTGACTCGGCCGCTAGTCCCACTACGACGTATCGCTCGCTATCAGAACTGGCTGTGGAGGCGGCGTCGCTGAGAGCGTCGCACGCTGTCTATCGACGTCACTAGTGACGTCAGGCCGCGGGTGATGTCACTCTACTTGCCTGAAGGCGACGTCAGCGTCATCAGGCGACTCAGCTGCTAATCCAACAACGACGTATACTCGTTATCGGAACTGGCCGTAGAGGCGGCGTCGCGGGTCAGCGCGCTGTCTATTGACGTCACCAGTGACGTCAGGCCGCGGGTGACGTCATCAGCAGCGGGTGACGTCACGCTACTTGAAGGCGACATCAGCGTCATCAGGCGACTCGGCCGCTAATCCAACTATGACGTATCGCTCGCTATCAGAACTGGCTGTGGAGGCGGCGTCGCTTCATCCGTGACGTCATTAGCTGCAGGTGACGTCAGCGTCGTCTGGCGACTCTACCGCTAGTCCCACTACGACGTATCGCTCGCTATCAGAACTGGCTGTGGAGGCGGCGTCGCTGAGAGCGTCGCACGCTGTCTATTGACGTCACTAGATACGTCAGGCTGCGGGTGACGTCACGCTACTTGCCTGAAGGCGACGTCAGCGTCATCAGGCGACTCGGCCGCTAATCCAACTACGACGTATCGCTCGCTATCAGAACTGGCTGTGGAGGCGGCCTCGCTTCGAGCGTCATCGCGGGTTAGAGCGCTGTCTATCGACGTCACTAGTGACGACACTGGCGGCGGGTGACGTCATTAGCAGCGGGTGACGTCACGCTACTTGCCTGAAGGCGACGTCAGCGTCATCAGGTGACTCGGCCGCTAGTCCCACTACGACGTAACGCTCGCTATCAGAACTGGCCGTGGAGGCGGCGTCGCTTCGAGCGTCATCGCGGGTCAGCGCGCTGTCTATCGACGTCACTAGTGACGTCAGGCCGCGACGCATGGACGAAAAGCCTGGGAAGATGATAGAATAAGAAATTTAATATCCCAGTTGTGTTTTTCAACAGATTTATTTCACAAGCCTTATCCAGCATCGCAGTTTTATAAAATATCTGTCGCTCTCATTCATGGGCATGGCAGTCTCATTCATGGCAGTGGTCTACAGTGGCAAATTAATGGTGGTCTCAAAATTAAAGGAAAAAGGTATTTTGTTTGCCAACAAAAGGTTAAAAAACAGTTTTTCTAGCGGCTGATACACTAAGCTGTGCTTGTGTCTAAAGGACTAAGGAGCGTGGGACGTGCACCTACAAGATGAACAGACGACCTCACAAAGGTAGCAGGAAGGCGCTGGATGCAGGCCGCTACCAACCGGTCAATTTGGAAATCATTGTGGGAGGCCTATGTTCAGCAGTGGACGTCCTGCGGCTGAAATGGTGATGATGATGAATTATTTTTAACCGTCTTCAAAAACGGAGGAGGTTTTATGTTCGGCAGTTCAGTTCTTACCTCCAAAGCTCAGCCCAGGGCTGGGAGGCGGCACCTCCTCGGCAGGCAGCGGCTGCGCCGAGTACACCTCGACTGAAGCCGTGGTGGCTAACACTCCGCTGTCGCGGTCCAGCATAGACGGAGCCATTGTCGCTTCCGAACCTAAAATTATATCAGTTCAACATAAGTCTTCATAGGAACATTTCACATTTAATCCTCAAGGTTATTTGACTAAAGCCAGGTGGATTTGACCAAACAAGAGTTTTTAATCTCAGAATAAACTTGTCATTTTGACATATTTCCCTGTCAATGTGCCGATTATACCAGGAGTTATTCTCGGATAAAAGTTTGGTCGAATCGGGCCTAATACGTCCATATAGCACATGAGAAGCGGTCACACGTGCTCGTCTGATACCAGTTGATATGATCTCCGACATCATTTTCAGAACTCGATTTATTAAACTATAACACTGAAAAACTTCATCGAAATCCATCGCAATTTTGCGTGAAAGAGTAGTAAAGAACTTTCCACCCATCCTCACAAATTTTCGAAAGTATAATACACCCCTTTGACATAACCATGATGTATTTTTTTGCAAAGACAGATTCTTACCCATCTTCAAGTCTTGCAAGCTGGAGGAGTCCAGCGGGACACTATCCAGGTCTCTAGAGGACTCCTGCCCAGGACAGCTTGATGGCAGCTCCAAAGTCAGTTCTACTGCTGGCACCACCAGACCCAGCACTATTGCTCTGCTAGAGTGGAAGTCACGTGCTCTCATGCTTACCCATCTTTAAGTCCTGCAAGCTGGAGGAGTCCAGCGGGACGCTGTCCAGGTCTCTAGAGGACTCCTGCCCCGGACAGCTTGAAGGCAGTACGAGTGTCAGTTCTACTGCTGGCACCACCAGACCCAGCACTATTGCTCTGCAAGAGTTGATACATCACTATTATAGGCCATTGCATAATGGAACATTTAAACGGAAGAGGTTACTATAACAAAACCAAAAATAATTTCTTTAATATAGAATATGTATTAAAGGTTGCCGAATCTTGGCTCGTCTTTGGCAGAGGATTTCCACCACGCGTAAGTTCGCGACTACCTTCACGCGCGCCGTTAGCGAAGAACTGGGGTGGTACTACTTCTCTTCAAGCCGGCCGGCGCTTGCTCTGACGGAGCGAGCCATAGTCTGGGGTAGTGTCGCGATTTCGCGAAGTAATGTCTATGTAAGCTGTCCAGCCCGGACAATAGCTCGCAATTCCGTCCTAATATAAGGACTTTGACGACCCCGCCCGGTTTTAGTAAGACTTGCTTTTCTTACCGGAAGATTCCCACATAACCCACTAATCTCCCAATGCCACCGGCATGCAATTTTATGCATTTTCCAGACGCAAAAATCCCTTTACTTACCCAGTCTCTGCTTGAGGCTGCCTCTCCGCGTCGTGCGCTAACCAGGCCGCCATTTCTGACACTCGCTCTAACTGTCGCAATAGGAATAGCATCTGGTAGTGGTTGAGCTGCAGCCCCGCTAGGCCGCACGTGCGAGCCACGCAGTAGAGCTTTGGCCAGGCCACGTAATGCGTGCACTTACATATACCATAGAAAAATACTTTCCCTCGGGATAAACTTGACCTTTACTGGCTGGGTTTTTAATGACGGTCCTGGCTACATAGGAGTTGCAGCGGTGGGAATAGTCCCGTATACCATAGAAAAAAAATATGGTCGCAGCGACCCGGCCGCGTGGTCGCCTAATTCGCGGGAGGCCTTAGTGACATCTTAAGGGAGATATTGCGACAGTCACCTAAGAGCACACACCCGAACGACTCGCTTCGACTCTCGTCTTACAGGGAACCTCTCTTCTCCACATACCCACTAATCTCCCAATGCCACCGGCATGCAATTTTATGCATTTTCCAGACGCAAACAACCCTTTACTTACCCAGTCTCTGCTTGAGGTTGCCTTTCAGCATCGTGAGCTAACCAGGCGGCCATTTCTGACACTCGCTCTAACTGTCGCAGCAGGAATAGCATCTGGTAGTGGCTAGGCCACAAGTGCAAGCCTCGTAGTAAATATTTAGCCAGGCCACGTAATGCGAGCACTTACATTTTACATATACCACAGAAAAAATAGTTGGTCCCAGCGACCTGGTCACCTAATGTGTCACCTAATCACCTAACCCTTGGTAGCATCTTAAGGGAGAGGCTGCGGCAGTCACATAGGGGCACGCACTTGAACGACTCGTTTGACTCTCGTCCTACCATATTAAGTGCCTACTCTTCTGACAGGGAGATTCCCACATAACCCACTAATCTCCGAATGCCACCGGCATGCAATTTTATGCATTTTCCAGACGCAAAAATCCCTTTACTTACCCAGTCTCTGCTTGAGGTTGCCTTTCAGCATCGTGAGCTAACCAGGCCGCCATTTCTGACACTCGCTCCAGCTGTCGCAGCAGGAATAGCATCTGGTAGTGGTTGAGCTGAAGCCCGGCTATGCCGCACGTGCGATCCACGTAAATCTTTGGCCAGGCCACGTAATGCGTGCACTTACATATACCATAGAAAAATACTTTCCCCCGGGACAAACTTGACCTTCACTGGTTGGGTTTTTAATGACATTCAAGCTGCAGATCCTGGCTACATTGGAGTTGCAGCGGTGGGAATAGTCCCGTATACCATAGAAAAAAATGTTGGTCGCAGCGACAAGGCCGCGTGGTCGCCTAATTCGCGGGAGGCCTTAGTAGCATCTTAAGGGAGAGACTGCGGCAGTCACATAGGGGCACGCACCTGAACGACTCGTTTGACCCGCGTTCTACCAAACTAAGTACCTGCTCTTCTGACAGGGAGAGCTCCACATATCCCACTAATCTCCGAATGCCACCGGCATGCAATTTTATGCATTTTCCAGACGCAAACAACCCTTTACTTACCCAGTCTCTGCTTGAGGTTGCCTTTCCGCGTCGTGCGCTAACCAGGCCGCCATTTCTGACACTCGCTCTAACTGTCGCAGCAGGAATAGCATCTGGTAGTGGTTGAGTTGCAGCCCCGCTAAGCCGCACGTGCGAGTCACGCAGTAGAGCTTTGGCCAGGCCACGTAATGCGTGCACTTACATATACCATAGAAAAATACTTTCCCCGGGGACAAATTTGACCTTTACTGGTTGGGTTTTTAATGACGGTCAAGCTGCAGATCCTGGCTACATAGGAGTTGCAGCGGTGGGAATAGTCCCGTATACCATAGAACAAAATGTTGGTCACAGCGACAAGGCCGCGTGGTCGCCTAATTCGCGGGAGGCCTTAGTGATATCTTAAGGGAGAGACTGCGGCAGTCACATAGGGGCACGCACCTGAACGACTCGTTTGACCCGCGTTCTACCAAACTAAGTACCTGCTCTTCTGACAGGGAGATTCCCACATATCCCACTAATCTCCGAATGCCACCGGCATGCAATTTTATGCATTTTCCAGACGCAAACAAACCTTTACTTACCCAGTCTCTGCTTGAGGTTGCCTTTCAGCATCGTGAGCTAACCAGGCCGCCATTTCTGACACTCGCTCCAGCTGTCGCAATAGGAATAACATCTGGTAGTGGTTGAGCTGAAGCCCGGCTAGGCCACACGTGCGAGCCACGCAGTAGATCTTGGAGAAACCCTCGTCGAAGCACAGCTGTGGGAAGAACAAGTTGGTTTGTAATAATTTGACACAGTCTATATTCCCGCTAAATAGCACTTATTGCAAGGACACAAGATGATATAGAGCCTGTGGCCTAATTCACGTATTTTGACAGTCAAGATCTCGCTGACGTTCAGAAGTCGTCCCATTGAAAAACAGTTCTAAATCTGTATTCACAAGAGTCATTTTCGATAGAACGATTACTCGATAGGATCGCAACTCAGCGATTTGTTGTCAAACTTGTCATTGAAGTTTTGTTACATCGTCCCGTTGAAAAACAGTTCTAAATACGTATTCACAAGAGTAATTTTCGATAGAACGATTACTCAATAGGATCGCAACTCAGTGTTTTGTTGTCGTTGAAGTTTTGTTACGTGAATAAAACTGGTTGATGTCCTGTCGTCGTCTGTATCACTAGACAGGCTGTCCTGAACTAAGACATTGCTCAATAAGGCTATTTTACTAAAGAACTCATTTAGTCGACTATAAGCGTATGCTGCGATGCCTTAGATTAATGCATGGGAAAAACAAACCGTATTGCAACCGATAAAATGTAATGACTTACATGCGAAGTTTACTAAAGTGCTTTTAATATCTCTCGTGGGGATTGAACATGCCAAGTTAGGCAACCAACAAAGTAAATAAACCTATTAATATTATACTTACCCAAGCCGACAGTGGCGTGGCGTTTAGCAACGGTGCCGGTTTGTAGTTAGTAGCCCTCGCGCCGCAGAAGTCCGTCCATAAAGGTTCGACCCGCAAGCACCATATTGATCTGTCCTCCTTCCACATAAGGTACACTTTGGACGACTCACCCAAGCCGACAGTGGCGTGGCGTCTAGTAACGGCGTCGGCTTATAGTTAGTCGCCCTCGCGCCGCAGAAGTCCGCCCATAGAGGCTCGACCCGCAAGCAGCATAATGACCTGTCCTCCTCCCACATAAGGTACACTTTGGACGACTCACCCAAGCCGATAGTGGCGTGGCGTCAAGCAACGGCGCCGGTTTATAGTTAGTGGCTCTCGCGCCGCAGAAATCTGCCCATAATGGTTCGACCCGCAAGCAGTATAATGACCTGTCCTCCTTCCACATAAGGTACACTTTACTTTGTACTCACCCAAGCCGACAGTGGCGTGGCGTCTAGCAACGGCGCCGGTTTGTAGTTAGTTGCCCTCACGCCGCAGAAGTCTGCCCATAATGGTTCGACCCGCAAGCACCATATCGACCTGTCCTCCTTCCACATAAGGTACACTTTACTTTGGACTCACCCAAGCCGACAGTGGCGTGGCGTCAAGCAACGGCGCCGGTTTATAGTTAGTTGCTCTCGCGCCGCAGAAATCTGCCCATAATGGTTCGACCCGCAAACACCATATCGATCTGTTTTCCTTCCATAGCATCTCTGGAGTTATGGCTGTGCCGCGTTCTAGGTCGTCGAGGTCTGAAAAATAAAAGTAATTATAGGAAATCCTTAAGGTTTTCATGTTCGGATACAGTATTTTTTCATAATCTTTTGAACTGATTGACAAAGGTGCTGTCATTTTTGCGTACCTTCTTCTCAGCACTGGCCAGCTTAATTGTTACGATTATATTGGGGTTAACAAAAGCAGGATAACTATTAAAATATCGGAAGACAAAAATGAAACAAAATACTTTTTTTTAATAAAGTATTTCACTACGACAATTTCTACAATGGACATGGCGCACAATTTTTGTTGAAGATGCCAAAAAAAACTACAAAAAATTAGAATGAATACTGTATTTTTATTTTTTTGATATCTTTAAAAATGACTGAAATATTCAAGCTCAAAGTGCGCTCTTCCGCTCGGAGCGATTTTCCGCGCGGATTTTGAAAATGTGACGTAGTAACATGAAAAGCAGCATGCAAGATATTATCTGTGTGCAATGGTTAGAANCAAGCAGAGAAACAGGATGGGATTTAATCTTTTAAGTGCTATATTACGAGTACGCTGCAGTATGAAGTTGGTAGGAAAATGCTGCAACGACTATGAAATCCCAAACAGTGTGGTAAAATTAATTGGTACCAAAGAGTCGTATCAATCGGAGCTTAACGATGATGATGCGGCCGGAAACGAATCATCTGAAGATGACTTCATACTTTAATTTCAAGGATATCTTTTAAAAAATTGCTATAATTTTGTATTCTGTTACATAATGTGTAATTTTAATGTTATTTCTTAATAAATATATCTTAAAAATATTGTTTTCTTTCAAAATGACCACAAATCTGCCAGACAAAAAAATAGTGGAAAAGAAGAACGGTCATCTGTGACCCAGACCCGACAGAAACGAGACATACCTCAGTTTTTTTGTCATGTCTTAATTAGTTAAATTATATATTTTTTATATTCCAAATCTATGTATAACACCAAATTATTGCCCTTTGTTTTTGTTCAGGCGTCATACAAAAACTAATACAAAATGCCTATTTATCACCAAAATTGGTAAATGTATGTACCTGAATAGCTGCTATGGAATGTATCTAGGTGACTTGGAGATACAGCCGGATTATACAGGGTGGTTATACATATGGAACGATAAGTGATCTCACTCGATTATTTCTAAACTATACATAGCAAATGTTGTGATAGGGATAGAGACATGCGAATTTTGGTTTTACAAAGATAATACGATAGACAATAATACAAAGTAATAAAAAAACACCTATTATAGGGGCATTTTTTTGAGAAATTTATCAAATAACCAAAAAAATGCGAATTTTTAAGCACATTTTTTTCAAAAAGTATCATTTTTTATTATTTGTTGGCATTTTCTGGGTATTTTATGTATTTTTTTAGTATCACCTGTTATTTAGCACTATTACTGTTTTTATTTTATCAGGATATACCTCTTAGTTTAAAAGTTATTACGTTTTCTTTACGAGAAGTAATTGGAAGAAAAAAAAATCTATAATTTTAAAAAAAATCTCAAAAAATTTTTGACCTCTTTTTTGTCGATAAAAATAGGTTTAGTTTCACATATTTTCATATGTACACTTTAACGTGACTCACACTGTATAAGAACTTACTGATTCTGTTGTTTATTTTTAATGAATAAATCTATTGATATAATGCAAAAATGGCCTTTATTTTGAAATTAATTGAAAAAATAGGAAAAAAACTATTTATATAATAAAATTGATTTTTTTCTTAACCGATTAATTAAAAATCAATTTTTTATCTACAATGTCACATCCCTAGATTCTGCTGGGTCAAGGGCCACGCTGCCATCCCGCGCAATGTCCGGGCGGACATGGAGGCTGGGGCGGCGGCGGTTATGAGGAGGGCCCCAGATGACTGTAACTTCCCCATGTCGCACGTCAAGGGTGTCCTTCGGGCTGAGACTTGCCAGGCGTGGCAGGTGAGGTACGAGGAGGCGCCTCAGGGGTCCCAGACAAAACTTCTATTTCCAACTCTTTCGGATTTTTCGCGCTTCCGAGCGCATACCCCGTCGTCATATCAACTAACGCAGTTTGTCTTGGGACACGGGGCGCACCTCAGTTACTTGCACCGATTCGAGATTTCGTCATCTTGCGCCTGCCCCTGCGACGTCTCCTCCCCCCAAGACTCCGGGCTCCTCTTAGAACACTGCCGCGGCCAAGCGCCTGGAGCACATCTTGTGCGGGTTGAAGGGGATGGAGCCCAATTTACTTTTAAAGATACAGACACCTTCGGGAGTACAAGAAAGAAAAAAGACTACCTCTTCATGAGGATCCCCTTATGTGGTGGAATGGAAATGCGCACAAATACCCCCATATTTTGCCTATAGTTCGCCAATACTTATCAGCTCCCCCCAGCAGTGTAGCCAGCGAGCAATTATTTAGCGGAGCTGGTTTAATATATGAAGAACATCGAAATAGGCTGAAAGGTGTGAATGTCTAACAAGCCGCGCTGCGTCAGCCCTCGGTGTGTGGCTGTTAGGGAGGCGCACACGAGACTCCTCCAAAATCTGGAGGGGTACCGGAAATACGAATCGCAGTTGTTAGGGCTCCACAATCAGAACAAAGTGCTTTTGGACACCATCCTGGGGCCGGCTAGGGAGGAAAGCCACCTGCTTGTCGGCCGGTCCATTGGCGCGGGCGCAGACCCCGCGGTCGCGACACCGGCCCTGGCCTCTAGCGGAAGTGATCTGGGGGGCCCGGGGGACCTGGCCCGTCCGGAGGTGGGAACCATTCTGGCTGGAATGGCCAGTATTGACCCACTAATATCTCCAATCGGGTCCCCGGGGCCTTCGCTCTCGCAGTCGCCGGGATCGGGACATTCTTCTCCCAGGGCCCTATCACCCTCGTCCCCTGGCCGGCTCCGGGTTCCGCCGGCGGCAGCTTTCTCCCGCTCCCTCTCCCCCGCCCTTCGGCGGCGGGAAAATATACATACCATGCCCACCCCCCCTCATGCACCCGCAACATACGGGGCTCCCCCAGCTCTACTGCAGAGCTGGGGTTAGACTCCATCGGCCCAGGGGGGGGCGGCAAGGGAATATCGACTTTGCATATTATGTGGGAAGCACATCAGTTCCCATGTGGCCAGACACTTCTCAAGGAGGCACCGGGGTTACGGAGTCCCGGTATGCCCGCTCCTATACTCGGGGCCTCTTTTTCTACGCCGGCCAAAGGTTGGAGACCTGTCCGCCGGAGGCCAGGGCGGACCCCGCGCTGCTGGAGGGGGTTGATGGGGTGGTGGGGAGTTTTGCCCTCCCCTAGGTACGAGGAGGCGCCTCAAGGATCCCAGACAAGGAGGTTATTCCCAACCCTCGCGGACATATTGCGATTCCGAGCGCTGGCTCCGCCGTCATTTGAGCTGACACAGTTCGTTTCGGGACACGGGCACACCTCAGCTACCTGCACCGTTTTAAAATCTCAACATCTTATGCCTGCCCCTGCGACGACTCCTCCCCTCAAGACCCTTGGCACCTTTTAGTACACTGCCCGCGCTTCGCGGCTAAGCGCCTGGAGCATAACATCCTGTGTGGGTTGGATATTTATCTATTTACTAAATGATTTATAATAAACTATTTGTTTTCCTTTAACTTAGGGCCTGGCTAGAAACGCACTTTGGCCAAGACTGGACAAGTGGACATCGTTGGTGGAATTGAAATATTATAAAAAAGAGCTTAATAGTGAAAATGTGATAGGGCGACTAATGTACGAAGAAGAAATTGTAGAAGATGACTTCATCTAAGTCAACGCTTTTTTTTTAAATATCTCCTAAGACTCCTAACAGGGTAGAGTGGATTTATCTGAGTTTGAAGTTAAGCGACTCCCTAAAGTTATGCCAATTAAGGGCCACAAAGTAGTCCCACTTTATGACGGTCCTCTAATAAAAGGCATCAGAAATAATTTGAGACTAAAAACAACGCGACCTGCAATCTTGAAGAATTAACTAGACTCTAGTTCCGAGGTTTCTGATGAAATTCAAGAAGAAGTAATTGAAATGCAGCATGATAGTAAATTAAAAGACACCTTCCAAAGTTCCAATCAGGAATTAACCTTGAAGATTTTTGGAGCCAAAAGGCAATTTCTTTGCCCAAACTTCGAGACATTGCTATACGTTATCTAACGTTATATTCATGGACTTATCTATGCGAGCATTTGTAACGTTTATTTTTATTTTTGCGAAACAAATAAATTCATGGTAGTTCTAAAACTATAATTATTATCTGTTTTATATTAATAAAACATAGGGACAAAATAAAAAATATGTAAATTTACAGAAGAACACATTCAAGAAAATATGCGGATCAAATTGACAACACAACTGTTTATAGTCAGTGTTGCAGTTCTAACTGACCATTTGGTAGCGAAAGGTACGAGTATCTTCCAGTGGAATGACGACAAATATTCGATTTTACAGTTTTAATTAATTTAACAGTTGCTTAAATGATTTCCGAGTAGTTGAAGAATTTATAATTTGTTTATGTGTGTCGTTTTTGTTTGTGACGTCACTCAGAATACATTTGGACGGAGTGATCTTCAAAAAATAAAATTAGCATGTCTCGTCTTTCTTTTTATGACAAATTTAAGGATATTCTAAAATAATAACATCACTTAATTAAGAAATCCTAAACCTGCCACGGGACACCCTGTACTTTTAGACCTAGCTAACGAAAGAGACAGGCGCCGACGACGAAACGAACTGCGGAACAGCTCTATAAATCCGTTCCACAATACGTCTGAAGAAGACTTCGTCAAAACTAACAGACTTTCCAAGCAGTTAGTTGAAGGTCTATTTGAAGATATTCTCCCTTTAGTACCCAAAGAAAGGAGGTCTGATGGACCTACCTGCCTACACTACCTATACTTAGAGTAAAGGTAATGGTTTTTCTTACAGAGACGCAATGGATCGCCCGCAAGAGTATGAAGTGCGCTACAGATACGTTGGAATGAAAGCCATAAAGGTGAGACTGCCGGGCGAGGAGCTGTGGACCCGCGTCGTGACGATCTTCAACGGTAGCGTCTTTTTTTGCTACACACTAGACAACACGCGACAGCGACAGCTCAGCGAATAAAGCCCGGTCTGTGAGCACGTAGAATTTTGTCCAATGACCCCAACTCACTGCTCGCACACTCACTGCGGACGCCAGTACAGTCGCGACAGCAATATAATTACGCGCGAGCGATAAGGATGGGTAGCTAGGGGTCATTGGACAAAATTCTACGTGCTCACGGACCAGACTATAGTAGTACCCATGGTCGCTCAAGTGAGTCATGGTCGTCAAGTAGTACATTATTGGTTTAAGTTTAAGTTTTAGTTCACAACTACAATTCTTCGTGTTATTCAGTCATTCATTATTAAATTCAGTGAAGGATTCAAGTCGATAATTATAATGATTGTATTCTGTTATTACAAAGACAAATAAAACTAGTATTGGCATCTACAAGGTGTTTATTGGAAGTCCTGTTTCCCCGTACACATACACAACAGCACCATATCATTCTGATATAAAGAATAAACCTCCCGTCATCCGTCAATAAAGAACAACGCACAACCAATGCTCTAGCTTCTAGAGTCTAGAAGGTTGGCATTATAAATTAAATAAAAAATTAATATGAAACCTGTAAGACAGTCGTCTACTGCAAATAAAAGTTTGTTAGATATGACACGGAAGAAAAGAAACGATAAAACGAAGTTAGAGAAAAAAGTCGCTGAGTTTTTTGAAGAAGATTGCAATAGCAGATTGTGCCCAGGTAAAAAAGATAGCATTACAAAAGGTAAAATAACCATGAAAAATTTACTTATAATAAGTTTATAAAAAAAAATATATAAAATTGAGTTACACGCTGTTTTGCCGCCTACGACCTTTTTGGATTGTAAAACATCCACCAAAGAGAAACAGGCAGACATCATAGATTTTCCAAACTATCAGAGCATGCCGGTACCGGTACAATGAAAAATGTCCTGCGAGAATGTATTAACTGCAAATCACGTTCCATATGTTATCGTAAGTTTGACAATTCTGTTTTGATAAAATACTCTTCATGGCAATGTATTACAGAGGACATTTAGGATAATAAAACCAAGAAAAAACGCAGGGTTCGAAAATATAAGAAAATAACATTAAACTGTACTCCAAAAGACATTGTGATGAAACTTGAAGAAAACCTTGATATTTTTTTAAAGCAAATATAGTGCATCAATATGAAACCATTAAAAGTCTAAAAGATAACTTAATTGAAAAAGATGCTGTGATTCTTATGGACTTTTCCGAAAATTATAATACAAAATATTTTTCGGAAGTTCAATCATTCCATTTTGGTGGTTCACGTACGCAAATAAGTTTGCATACTATGGTCTTATAATATAAAAAGGAAGAAACAAAATGTTTCGCTACAATGTGAGAAAACTTAAACCATAATGTACCTGTTATCTGGGCTCATCTAAAACCTGTCATGAAACTCCTTCCGTCCTCGGTAGAAAATGTTCATTTCTTAAGCGATGGTCCTGTTACTCAGTACCGTAACAAGGATAAGTTTTTTTACTTAGTTTGTAAATTGACTGAAAGCTATCCGAATATTTATTTTGTGAAGCGACCGAAAATATTTTAAGATATTAGTGCCAACCACCACTCCGGTGGCAAGCCCGAAGGGGGTATAGAAATCAAGGCCTTCAATGTGATAGAAACAATTGAGCGGTATCTTTGAGAGGTTAACAAATAGTCAAATAATATTTTCAGAGTCAACTTATGAAGAAAAGAAGGTATATAGACAGACTTTATCTGGGTTAGGCTGTAGCAAAGGGGGTCAGAGACATAGCCGAATTTTCGAGCGTAATTTGTATGGAGCCGACAGCCGACACGACAACGTATTCGAAAATGAATGCTCTTGACCTATTGTTACAGCGAAATTTTTCGCTTTGGAATTTCGCTTCAAATATACGCAGCGAAGAAGAAGCCATAGCAGCTGCACAGACATGGCTTCTGGATTCCAGATATTATGTCCCCACGCTGTACAAACTGCCACAATACGACGACGAGAGACGACCAAACCAACTTACAAAATTGGTTTTAGATGGCGGTGCGGCAGAAAAAATTGTAGGGCATCTTTGTCTCCTCTCAAAAATACATTTTTTGAGAGGAGCCACCTTGGCCACATTACGCCTAATCCTCCATTTCATCAGAAAGGATAAAGTGAGCCAAGCTGCATTAGATGTAGGCGTAACCAAAAAAAGTGCAATTCAAATTTTTCACTTCTTAAGAGAAGTTTGTGAGATAGCGGAGGCCCATGATAGACAACTGATTGGTGGAGATGACGAATAATGACGATGTAGTAGAGATGGATGAAACCCATCTCTACACTCGTAAATATCACCGTGGGCGTATACTTCGTATATCTCAGACGTGGGCCTTCGATTGCATAAGCCGCCTTACCAAAAAAGTACACATTACGGGGGTTGCTGGACTTGCTGGTCCTACATTTGTAAAGGAAGGATTGTCTCCATTCCAAATCTTTGAAAATATTTGGGATGCAGACATCTTTTCGTTAATAGTGCGGGAAACTAATGAATACGTTGAAGACAATCATTAAAACATAAGAATTAAAACGAGGTCAGGCTTAAGGTGCCAATCATTGTATGGTTTACCCTGATTGCTTGCTTCTGAAATATATTGTGTTAACGACGGACAACTACGGAAACCCTACACTGCGCGTGGCACGACACGCACTTGGCCAATTTTTTAAAAAAATATCACGTAAGATTAGGGGGTGGGGGGAGTCAGGCAAAATCTCGCCAAATCTCACAAAGGGGGAAAAATAGCCAAAATTGTCTCACGTTAATTAATTAATGGACGCCCCCTAACTCCCAGAATGTTGAAAAGACGCGCCGTAATGAGATGGCTTAATTCGGTTTTCCTCGTCTCCGACGCTGCGGGAATAGCAGCCTCTTCGCCCTTACGTAACAAGGCGTAATCACAGTTACAGTGGGCGGAGGCTGCTCACCCTCCGCGCCTCCGGCTTTGAAATTACACTCTAGTATCGGACAGACAAGTACCACGGCCAAAGGACCACGGCGAGTCGGGGTAAACGCAATTAGATAATGGTCTTTCATACATAGATTAATAAACTAGAAAACTGCAAATATCTCAGTAACGGTGCGTGAAAAAATAATGAAATTTTGAACCCCCTCAAGAACGCCGTCCGGCACCCAGGCCCATAATATTCCGACTTCAAAAAACGGTCAAGTGTGAGTCGGTCATTTTTTCTTAAGTAAATTTGCGAAAATTTTACAAGTCTCAGCTCCACACAAAATGCCTTCGGAAATTCGGCTGTTCTGAGACCCCCCTTGCTACACTAAGTGAAAAATATTACAAGTCCCAGCTCCATACAAAACACGATCAAAAATTCGACTAAGTTAAACTCTATACTGAAGCCATCAAATTTTTTTTTAAGTGTTGGCTCCATACAAATTACCTACGCTCAAAAATTCGGCTGTCTAAACTCCATACAAAAGTCGTCAAAATTATAAAAGTGTCAGAAAACCTATTTCTTTTTACAAAAAATTTAAAAATCAGTATCTTTTTTTGATCTCTGTTTTTTGCTATTTTCAACAAAAAAAAATTCTTACAAGCAACACAAAAATAGAAATAAATAAAAAGTAAAAAAACTATAACCCAACTACGACAAAAAACAACGCTGAAAAAGTATAAAACAAGATTTTCAGAATACTGAACTTAACAAAGTTGCTAATGTAGTTGCATAGTAATTTTCATGTTTGGAAAACCGCAGTCACACGTTGTCAAAGTGCTACGGTAGGTAGGTATATGTAACGTGTGTCCGCTAGAGGGTGCCACATTAGATTTTGTGGAACCCCTTATAGCCTATAACCAGCGGACAATTAAGATGCTTCTAATGATATGTCATTCGTCGAATTCTGATAAGTAGTTTAGAAGTTACAAGGGAACAGATGAACATACATACATAGCCTGTCAAAATCATAACCCTCCTTTTGCTTTGCCATAGTCGGGTAAAAATACTTTTATTGACATAATATAAAACACAACAAGGAACTAAAACAATTACTGAGCCACTGTGCCACTAGGCTCCCCTGCTCAGCCCTTAAAAGCATGTGAAGATAAATGCTGAGCAAATAGACAAGTTCCAGCTTCAGGATTTAACTAGTGAAGAAATAGGTAGCCTTGAATGCTTTCCAAATGATCAAATTTATGGAAGTATATCAGCACCAAAACGGTCTTCAATCACCTCTTCAAGAAGGTTGACCAGCATGAACACCAAAATTCTACGTATCAAATCTTGACACAGTGCCAACTAAATAATAAAAAAACACATCCTTGCTCTAACCAACTTTAATGATACTATCACTGGACATCCTTAGATTTATTATTCTATGCTGACGCCATTAGACAAAATTATTGACATTATTGATTTCTACAACCCAAACCATCAAACATCCCATTATGAAGGAAAATTAACGTTGTAAACACAGGTTGAACATCGAGTTATAACAACATCTGCAATCAGAGCTGGTCGAGATTTTATGGAATCATTGCCAGGAAGAAACCTTTGATTATTTACAACGCTGCTTATCTGGCGGAAGGCAATAGTTGTCGATCGGTACAAATCCTGAGACACCTTTTGGTAATGCCCAATCAATGAAAAACGTAGAAAGAACGGAAAATTTGAAATAAAACAGCACAATATAAACGGTCAATGGAATACCACTGTAAATAACAACGGACTAAACATAATAACAAATTCTTCCGTTTACACAATGCTATTGTTTAATTTACCCAATTTAGTAGCCGTTATGCACGTTTATTATTAGTGCAAAAGAAAGAAAGATACAGAAAAATAAATGGATGATGGATGAAGATCAAAGCAAGCAAACAAAAGCAAAAGCACAGATCAAAATGAACGAACAATGAAATGATTAAATGAATGAACGAACATCACCTGTCAGTGTCTATTTTTTTTATTAAGTTTTACGGCTCTGGGTACAAGCCTTTTTTAGCCAGTCTGATAGGGCTCGCAAAATATTATCGATTTTCAAATCGATTAACGCCGGAATCCGCCCGCCGGATTTTTAAAAAAATAAAATAATGTTAACAGGTTGGATCTTCCTGCACCTAAAGGGCGCGCCTTACTCGCTGGTTTCAAATACGGGTCCGCGCCGCGCCGGAGCCACTCCGCTGCACGCAAAAATGGAGGCAGAGTGCCTAACGCCAATATGTAATTACGGCAATATTATGTTTAAATAAAACCTTTTTTTAATCAGCCTTGCTTTATTTGTATGTATTCCATTATCACAATATAAGGACACATCACTTGTAATTTATCAATCAACAAAAAGGTACTTTGCATAGTGATCAAAAAGCTTGACACAACAATACCTACAACCATACTACCGTAAAACTACTTAATCAGTAGTAAGATGCATGAGAGTTCCGACGCCCTTTCGGCGACGATGGTCGCGGTGGCCCGAAGAAACCTCTTGACGTAGTACTGGTCCTCTCTTTGGGTCCACTGTAAAAAATGATTACAAAATCAAAATCAAATAACTAATTATGAGTATGTAAAGTAATCAAAATCAATATGTACCTAGTTACCTACCTGGTGTCATGGTGCAAACTCGGTCTGGTCCCTGTACTAGTTCTGGAGTGAACATCTTTGATGCTTGATTTTTCTTTTGGAGTCATGCTAAAATAATGAAAAAAAAAAAGGTCAAGAATTATAAGCAAAACAACATTTTCGATACTTTAATGATGTGGCCAAAAGGTTGACAACACAACCTTATTCCATGACGTGTTGCGAACTTTTTGGCTACTTTGGGTGTCACGAACTATGACGCTGACTGTACAGTAGAAATTAATACTTGCGCACCTGATTTTTTCTTGAACCAGACCACTAAGCTTCTCCGAATGTAAAGAGTCACGAAGTCTTCTTTGGAACTGAAAACGTATAATAAAGCAAAGTCGTCATTCAAACCATTAATTTATTTTGCGATATTATACAAATCACTGTAACTGAGTGAGACTGTCATTGACTAACTGAATGATGGATAGTAAGAAGTACCTGCCCAAAATATCGATAGGTGCTCTAAGTGGAATAATAGGCCAGGTGCTACCCGTGCAGGTGCTATTTGGGTGGGTTCTCAAAGTTGAATATTACGCCAACTTACACAACTCACGAAGGCGAGTGAGCTTTACTTGTGTTGTGTTGTGTCACGAGTGTGAACGTGCCTACATATAGATAACGATTAGTGTAATGTCTTTCAAAACTTTTGAAAAACGAACAGAGCGAGCTATAGGTGTACCAGAATCTCATGGCAAACAAAAATATTGGAAAAGTGTGTTTTTCATATGGCAATTGTCTATGGTTTAATTGTCACCTGTCAAAGAAAATTATGAAATCTGTCAGCCGCTGCAAAATTTTTGTAATCTCTTCTTGACTATTTGTTATTTTTGTGAAAAAGTCGAAAAAGTTCAAGCAAGGCATATTGTTTTCAATGTGAATTGTAAAATAAGGCATAATTCAAAGTCGATCTTTGATTCTAAAGCGCGTCGTCGAGTTGACAGTAAGTTGGACTGAAATGTTTTGATACATTTAGTTTATTACCCAACTGTGTCAGAAGGAGGGTTGTGTTTTTTTATATTATTCTTACTTAATAGCTGCTTTATCGGGGTTTTCAGGTATATCTCACAAATTGGTGCAGATGTTATGACCATGTAAAGAAAATTGAAAAAGATTTCATAAAGCAAGATTGAATAATGGAGAAGTTTCCAATTTTTTTCTTTGAAATAAACTTGAAATAAATATAAGTAGAACTAATAATAATTGTGAAATAATCATGAAAATATCTCTACAAATAAATAAGTTACAGGGCCCTAAAGTTGCGCATAACTATTCACGCCATTTTGATCGGTGTATTCACACAGTCATTCGGAGTACAAACAGTAAATCACCCCTGATCCAGCCAGTTCATTTTTTTTTAAATCTAGCAGTTTTTAATTTTTCAGCTAGGGTCACTCAAGATTCTTTCTTAATAAAATGTAACCTTTTTTTTAAATAACCCAGACCTGGCCATATACAAAAAGAACGGCACCGCCTATGTTTCAGTTCCACGCGAAAATATGTAGGTAATTTAAATAATTAATTTCTCAGACATTTCTTTTCTCACGGACGATTTATTTAATTTCCAAGACATTTTCCTATGTTAAAAACCTGATGTAAAACAACATTCTTCCACCACACATACCTACCTAAAATGTATATTCGTACTTCATGTTCATTAATATTAGTCATAAAAGTAAAAAATTAAACAGTATCAAGATCGTTTATTCCAATTTCCCCAGTATTGCTCTCAACAAAGTTTATTTTCCCTATTTGCCATGAGATTCTGGTACACCTATACCACACATGTAAAGGTCACTCGCCTTCGGGAATTTCAACAACTATAAATAGTTTAAGCCACCTTTATGCTATTTAGCATGTCTCCCTGAGTGGCCAGTGGGCGCTCGTCGGAGCGGACGCTAGGCGCTCGCTTCGGCGCAGGAGCGTCCCGCCGCGCCCCCAGCGATGCGGCACCCACCGAAGCTGCGCCGATTGAGCCGTCCCGACCCGTCACCACTGCAAATGGACATTCCAACCATAGACGTATAAAAAAAACGTTTTACGTCTATGATTCCAAGTTCCAACCATCATTTTGTCTAAAGCCGTATTTGTGGGTCACTAGCCGAGCCCTAAATGGCCAACTTTGGCTCAAAATAAAAAGGATTCCATTTCCCACCTCTTCATAGCAATATTGATAACCGACCCTAATTCGACAGGACAATGTTAAATAGCGTTACTGACGTTATTTTTACTTTGTTGCAAGATACCTAAAGTCCGGTCGCCGAGCAGATAGAATTTGGTCCAATGACCCCAAGCTACCCATCTTTATAACTCGCACGTAATTATATTGCAGTGAATGTGCGAGCGCGACAGCAATATTATTACACGCGAGATGTGCATGTGGATTGAGTGATCCTTGCTTCAATCTTAACAAAAATCGAGGAAGTTTTACTTAAAATATGTTAAAACATTGCGATGAAGTTTAAAAATTTGTTAANGTCTAGAAGAGTACTTAGCCAATAGGAATAAAATATAAACAGGACACCTAATACATATTAGATTGCATTGGTTTTGCATTGTCACGTGTGACGAATCGGAACAGTCTCACAAAATAAAAAATCATATGTACCCTAATCAACATTTTCCTTTAGGAATCATCTAAGCCTGATATTTCTTAAATTATGGCCTTAATAAAAGCAAAATATATGCCAAATAATTGTTAAAAACAATTAACAATTTTAGATACTATCTCAGTCTGCCTACGAACTACATATCGTCAGTTGCAGGTTCACTTGGGGTAACTGACAAAATACAGTTTTTCAGTAGAGCCGTTTAAAGTTTTTTTTCGTCTTAAATCGGACATAACTTTTTTCCTATTTAACCTTTTTTGGATCTGTTTTTACAGAAATGCTTAGAATTCTACGCGGTTTTAGATTAAATAAAAAGAATTATCTAATATGTCTTAGTTAAGGAAATAAATTGCAGTTACACCAATGTATTTTTGTACTTTTGACAGTTACACTAATTTTATACCATACTTTTGGAAAAAACATAGGTAAAATTGGTGTAAGTACTGCCCAAATTAAAATAATTTGATGTATTTGCTGGGTTTTGTTTACTTAGTTGCTGTAAAATTTATGTAAAAGTATTAAAAAATAAGAGAATTCATGAAATTGTCGGCCGTTTGGTGTAGTGGTTCGAAACGGACAACTATTCCGGAGGTAGCGGGTTCGATTCCCGCACAGTACAAACATTTGTGTGCATGAACATATTTGTTTGTATTGGACTGGGTGTTTTCTATGTATAATATGTATGTATTTACAAAAAAAAAAGTATTTAAGTATGTTTATATCCGTTGTCTAGTACCCATAGTACAAGCTTTGCTTAGTTTGGGACTAGAAGCGCAGTGTAAAATGTCCAAGGATATTTATTTATTTATTTATTATGAAAAAAATAACATTTTGTCGTTTTCTTTATTTTTTTTTAAATTTTATTAGAAGTAACTTTTATTTTATTCATTAAAAAATGTTAAAAAAGCCATGGAAATCAAGAAAATATGTGTATTTAATTTTTTTTAAGACAGAAATATTGAAATAACTAAAGTATTACTGTGAAACTAAGTAATTTCAATATTTTTTTAAAGCTTTGACTTACCAATACCGTATTTAGCTCTACGGGGCAACTTAAACTGAAAACAAAATGGATTTAATTTCCCACTTCTTTATAGCAATGTTGAATTAAGGTCACGAGTACTACAACAGTAAAAGTTACAGAGTAACAACAGGTTAATGTTAGCAACGCGCAGTGACGCCTAGTTGGCTGGATAGTTGCTTAATTTCAATTTTTTTTTTGAGCTAACTTTAACTTCTTTAACTGATACTCCTGGTATAATAATAATGTAATATGCCTTAAAACTTTCTAAATTCCTATTTTATTTCATGATATAAACCTTAGCAAATCAGTGTAATTGCAAAGTTTTGTAGCAAAATTTTTACATTATTACAGATACACCAATTCAACCTGGTAAAATTATTATAATGTCAGTTACACCAAAATTGTGAAAGAAATCTGAAAAGTTCACACCTGAAAATGTCCGTGTAATTGTAATTTTTTTAAAGCTAGAATTTTTTTACGTATACCATTCGAAAGAGCAGAAAAAACTAAGAAAACCTGTATATTTAACTCAAAAACCGTATTTTGTCAGTTACCCCAAGTGAACCTGCAACTGACGATATGAGCAGATAGAGGTAAAAGTAAGGATCACTCACACGGCATATTGGAGGAAAGAATAAAGGTTAATTTCTTCCTTCAGCTTTTAAGTTTTGTCACACTTATTCTTTAACAAATTCGCTCNAGATACAACCGGATTATATAGGGTGGTTATACATATGGAACGATAAGTGATCTCACTCGATTATTTCTAAACTATACAAGATATCGAAAAACTAGTTACTGATTCTGAAAGTGCTTCACAAGCTCTTTCAAATGGTACCAATAATAGGGTACAGATTATGGAAGCTGGAAACATTGAATTTTTGGATTTTGTAACTTATTATTTTTTCCACCCTGTATAATCCGGCTGTATCTCCAGGTCACCTAGATACATTCCATAGCAGCTGTAATAGACATTTAGGTACATACATTTACCAATTATGGTGATAAATAGGCATTTTGTATTAGTTTTTGTATAACGCCTAAACAAAAACAAAGGGTAATATTTTGGTGTTATACATAGATTTCGAATATAAAAAATATATAATTTAACTAAATATGACATGACAAAAAAAATGAGGTATGTCTCGTCTCTGTCGGGCCTGGGTCACAGATGACCGTTCTTCTTTAACCCTAATATGTATTAATATCATGGCCAAATCGTAAAATTGATCACGTTATGATGATGTGACCAATTATTTTATAAAATGGTGTTATTTCAAGAATCGTTGAACCGATTTAAAAGAAAGGACATGGAGGGGGGGATGGGTATTTCGCCGAAACAGTAAATTTTCTGTGTCCAGGCAGGCGAACACATGTTTTTTTATATTTATATGTATAAAACTATTNCACGCGAGCGATATAAGGATGGATAGCTTTTGGGTCCTTGGACGAAATTCTATCTACTCGGAGACAAAACTTTAGTTTGCTCAACTTCAATACTTTTTTTTGAGCCAAAGTTGTCCTCTAGGGCTAAAATAACCCGCATCTCCGGTTTATCATTATCATCATTGCAGCCATAGGATGTCCACTGCTGAACATGCAGGTAGGCCTTACCTACTTACGCAAGGTCATATCAAAATCATATTTAGGATGAAAAATAAAATTATTGTATGAACAAAACATGTTTTATTTTTCTCATCTACAACTAGATCACATTATCCCATCGTCCCAAATGACAATGTTTACTAACACATTACCAGTATGGTATAATAAATTTGATAAATAAAAGTATGCACTTAGCTTGCACAAATTTAAAAATATTAAATTACACATTTTTTCTATTTAACAAACTCATGAAATAGTTTTATACAGAAAATAAAATCATATCTCTAAAATTACATTTATGCAATGCAATTAGTTGATCTGTTTTATATTTAAAAAAATATAATATGCTATGACTTTTATAGGTAGGTAGGTAGGTTTGTAATCAAAATTTGTTCTTCTCACTCACTAAATAAATATTAAATCAATCTCTTAGTTAGTTTTAGTAAAGGTTTATGATAACTTCAACAGATATCTTAAGAATGCAGTTTTGATGAAACATTAAGCTTTAAAATAATATAATTTAACATTTATCACTTTTTTTGATAGTGTGCTTTAACCCCCACTAAGAGAAGTGCTGATTTTAAACCACAAGCAATGAACCACAATATTATTCATAGCAATTAGATTTTCAATATACATTATTCATTCATAAAGGTCTATAAAAATTTTATGTTTTAACACTCTCTTCATTAACTAAAACCTTCTTACTGTCACCACTCTCTAATTTATTGGTAGCTTCATGTTCTTCCAACTTTTTTCTGGATGTAGCTGGCCCAGCAAAGATTGCTGGGGATGTCTTGCTTTTTGGTATGTAAACCTCAAACGTTTTAAAGTACTTCAACACACTATGCACATCATCTTCTTTCAATTTATACTCTAAGGCTATTTTGGAAGGAGTAGCTTCTTTGGGATTCATTTGATGCGCCCCTATAAAGTCTATTGCGTGTCGGAGAGTTGTTTTTCCGTAAGAAACGCGTTCTGGCTCTTTAAAACCCAATTCATAATCTTCTAAAAGTTCACGGTTCTGAGGCAGAGGCCTATCAGTGCTCTGGCGTTGCCGCTCTCGCGTAATGTCATCTTCAGGCCTCCCGTGAGAGGTTACATAAACATCCTTAAGTCTATCATCAAGTCCTGGGTCTTTCTTATCCAGCTTCTCGTCAATATCAGGAACCGCTTCAAGAGTCCTTTTCAAATCCGCGATATTTTGGGGATAGGTGGGCGCCGGGTCAGGCTTTTCTTTAGAAATAACACGATGAGCACGGTTCTCAATGTTGAAAGATCTGATCGGTCTCAAAGCTCTGGTCACTAAAGCACCCATCTTAGGTGGCGTTAGCACAACTGAGTTTACGTTTTATATTTTTTATTGAAATTCATCATCTATTTTCACTCAAAAAATATTTCATTTTAAATTTCACGAAGCTAGGTTAGAATTTCATAGTGACAGATGCCAAAATGACATTCTAATTTTGAAAAACAAAATTGCACTTGCTTGCTTACCAGAGTAAAAAAATGTGTCATAGAAAAAAAGGACAAAACTCTCCTACTGTAAGTAAAGGTAAGTACACACTATGCGTGGTAATGGTAAGTAGCCGCACTGCAAGTCTAGAGATGGGTTTCCACCCGGGTAAAAACCCACATGAGGGTTAAAACCCAATAAAAACCCGTTTCATTCCACCCGTGGGTGTTTACACCGGGTGAAAACAAATAATTTTATAATTATTTCAATTGGTATCTTTTCTTTATTTTTATTGAATTTTTCTCATTTAAGTTTATTGATTAATAAGTAATAAGTGAAAGAAGAACGGTCACGCCCCATACAAAAAAAACCCAGACCCGACAGAAACGAGACATGCCTCAGTTTTTTTGTCATGTCTTAATTAGTTAAATTATATATTTTTTATATTCGAAATCTATGTATAACACCAAAATATTACCCTTTGTTTTTGTTTAGGCGTTATACAAAAACTAATACAAAATGCTTATTTATCACCAAAATTGGTAAATGTATGTACCTAAATGATGGGTATTTCGCCGAAACAGTAAATTTTCTGTGTCCAGGCAGGCGAACACATGTTTTTTTATATTTATATGTATAAAACTATTTTTATGGGAAAGTTAATCAAAAGTTTTATTTGTTTTTGCTATTACAATAGCAGAAACTACAAATAATACCGTAGAAAAACTTAATCAAAAGTCGTTTTTCTAATTTCCTTGTTATGTCCACTACTGTTGTTTGCCAAAATGAAGGCACATTATAACAAATTGAAGCGTAATTTCATTCTAATAGCACTCTCTTTATATTTGAGAAACGTTTGGCTATCAGAAAACAAAATCTTTAAATGTCAAATACTTAAAGGAAGGAAATAAAGTGAAGTTAAGTTCTTGTCCGAGTCAAAAGTATAATTTCCCTGGGTCTTCTTTTCGGCCATTGTAGTAACGAAACGAAAGAACTTAGAATGTAATGCACTGCACCGTTACACTCGGCCATTTCGTCCCAAGAGGCCATCGAGGCAGGACAGTACTTCGTTGATCAGTTTCGCGACAAATCGCATAAGTAGGTCCCTCCTTGGGTTTTTGTTTACTAAAAAGACAATTTCTTTGGACGGTTTTTTGTAGCTAAACAATGGATTAATTTTATTGTTTATTTAAACAGATGTAGTGTCTGTAGGGGTAAACCCATGATTTAAATAGTAAATGCATAGGGTAAATAGGTTTTTGTCTGTGGTGTCTTTTAGGCATAAATCTAATTTCTTTGGCCCTAATTTCCTTGTTTTCCGTGGCATAAAATGGCCTAGGAAATTATAAAAGACCATTTTTAATTCGGCGTAAAGTCAAATTTTGAGTATTTCTTTATTGGAATAAGTTTAATATTTACATTTAAAGAAATGGGTATCGGAATAGATATAGAACAACTTGTTTTTAACTCTTAATTCAATCTACTGAATTTATCTTCCTTATTTGTGTAAAAAGGTCGTAATGATACAATATTCATTGGTATGTTTGCTTGCGAAGGTACACAAAAATGGATCGAACAAAAGAAAGCAAACCACAGAAGAAAACTTAGAGAAAAACATATTTATAATAATTTCCTTGGCTACCAAAAATTCATGACCTTATAACTATATTTCTAAAACGAATTATGACACCCCTTTTAGATACATTAGCTTAGTTTTTGCTACTTAATACAATGGTAAACTAAAAATAGTTAAAAACAAAAATATATTTCGTACCAAAGAAATTAGGAAAAATTGACCATTTTTGGCGAAATACCCGGATGCCAAAGATGCCAAACACTCTCTTTGATGACATTACGGTATAAAGTTACAAATAACAACACCAACTACAAAGTACTTCTGCTTAAAAACTTGAAATCGACCGCCCTTCCGCCACTGTAACGCATTGTAACGTTTTTCAAGACCTCCTCTCCCCCCAGATTGCATTACGTAACACTAGAACGCCCCCTTAGCAACAAATACCACTTCTCACTTTAAAAAAACGCTATTTTTGTTTTCACCCGCCAGAATGGGTGATAATGGGTAAAAACCGGGTTTTAACCAAAACCAACCCAAAACACCCGGTTTAAACCCAATCGGGTGAAATGGGTTTTTACCCACTACCCATCTCTAACTGCAACTGGCATTGGCATGGAATGCATGGATGGCCGTCTGGCTTAATCACAAATCCAAAATCTGATGCTGTTGCGGCTTCAAATGCATAAAATCACAACCAGTTGCCTAAAAAACTGGAAAACCGCTAGCCGGGCGGTTAGTCGTTCCCGCGATTAACCGCTGGTACGCAAAGAGGCGCAAAAGTGTTATGTTAGTATGATGTTGTCGGGTGAACTAGATCGGGTCATATGCTTAGATTAATAAAATCTAAGGTCATATGTAAAACACAAATAAAATGTAAAAACTTACATTTAAGTCTAGATAATACTTCTTTTAAGGCAGTTTTTGAAGCATCTTTAGCCAAAAACTTTCCAGCACAAGATGGAGTATTCGTCGCTCGAGTTTGCTCTGTCACCATTCTGAGTTGTGGAGGGCTCGGGCTGCGACCCAGGCGACGGCGATGCTGTGGTTGTGTTGAACCTCGGGACGCTATAAAATTAAATGCAAAATTCACTACACATAAACAACCAGCAGGAAAAGTTCTTGGGAAAATCCCTGTCAAAAAGTTTGTTCTTAACGTTCCTCTATACAAAAAATATGTTCATTTATTTCAAATATTTTCTTGTTTAATAATACCTATTAAACTTTCTTATTACTAGAAAAGAAAGAAAATTAATAATCTTCATTTACTGAGTTGCTAGCTAAAGTATCATACTTTCCATAATTGATAAAAAAATTAAAACATTGCAGAAATAAAAAGGCTCAAGTGGTACGAAACGTTTTTTTGACATTTATCTCGTATCTTTTGCTGTGCTAGCACTATATTAATTTCGTAAAAGTTTGTGCGCTTTTCAATCTTTAGCAATGACTTTATCAGAATATACACAATTGAAGCAGCAACTAGTTTTTTATGTCGGTGGTAGTGAACGGCACAGTCAACTGCTAAGTACTTTGAAGGAGCACTTTCGAGACGACATCAATTCGCCCAGAAGATATGAAAAGATAGTATCCATTGGTCAGTTATTGCGTGTTTTGGAGATAAGAGACGTTCTATCAGAGAACAACGTCGGCCCACTGAAAGAAATTGCACGTAGGATTCCAAACAGCAATGATTTGCTACAAAAAATTAATGAGTATGAGTTGAATCGCGTCCCAACTGAGTTTGTTAACTTGTATGGTAAGAATCAATTTCTTTAAATTTTCCTTTTTTTTAATCAGAATCCTCTCTTTCTATTGTGTGAACTGTAAAGATCAAAACCCTTTTATGATCAACTTTGGACTTGTAATTCATGAAAATATCTCTAAGGAAAGTAAAATATTATATGCTTGAGAGATTTTTGCCAGTAAGTAAATGTAGAGATTGTAATGTAGGTACCTAAAGATGTTATCTGAATTATAAATTATTGCAATTTGTTTTAGCGTCTGAAAATATACATAGCACACCACATCGACCCGCGGAAAGTTTTGTCACCAGTAACCCGAATACAGCTATGAGTGAAGCCAAGAAGCAACGTATCATTGATACAGTCATTGACAACATTGGCACATACTGGCGTGATCTGGCAAGGAGTTTGGATATCAAAGAAAAGATTATCGACGAACTTAACGAGAGCAACAAGCCATTGCATTTAAGAGCCAAAACAATAATGGATATGTATCAAAAAATTGCAGACAGTCAAAATTGGTTTTTTGAACTATGTGATGCTTTAGAAACTTGTAGAAGGAGAGACTTGGTAAAAAAACTCAAGAAAATTGCTACAATGAACATATGATCTTATTGACTAGTTCCTGGTTCCACAGGGTACGCCAGAATTAATTTGATATTATGATATTATATATTGCACTAAAAATTCTAGCATTATTTTTTATTACTTAGTTTTTCTGCCAGCGCACTAGTTTGACTTTTTATAGTCTGTCTCAAATTAGACAAAAATTTTATTTTCATTTTTTATGACTTTTTTATTTATTCCATCAATGTTTATATGCCATTTACCAAAATTATAAAATTGTGATCACAGTATTTGACAAAATATAAATGTAGACTAAGAAATATTTTTTGTTATTTGAAAACTTAATAATTTCTAATCATTAGCTAAAGTTGCCAGTTGGTGGGGATAGGCGGGAATCTCTCCCGCGTTTTTGTATGTCCTCCCGACCCCCAAGAAAGTAGAATATTCCAGAAAATCCACTTCATGTTTGTGATTGTTTCTCCTGACCTTACTTAAGTCCCATTATCCCGAAAAAAGTTTCTCCAGAGTATGGTAACTTATCCTGGCAACCTTAAATGGGGCACACTGAAAACCAGCGTCGTGGCCTTCCTCACCGGGGGCCACGGCATATGCTGAGTGGGATCCCATTGCGATGGGATTACTCTTCCATTGTATGTTTTGTGTTACCTCTATCTTATTTGCTTTTTTTTTATTTACCTCTTTTGTCTTATGTGATGTCCATGGCAACAAATGTTTCTTTCTTTCAACCTTTTCTTTTAACTTTGGCAAAAATTGCTAGCTATCACACATGACAATGACTTGACTAACCTGTGCTGAAACTGGAAGGCGTAATGTGGGCCATATTCCCAATAGTGGAGTGCTCCCCTCCGTACTGCGACACCCGAGAGTAGTGAGGGGTGACCGTGACGGAGGAGTTCAGATGCCTGTCCCGGTCATCTCTGTTCATGGAGCTCCTCATCAGGAAATTCTGAATAGAATTTATTAAATTATTAGAAATCTTGTATAATTAATACCGCTACTCAACGCTAGATGGCGCTAAATGAACATTTTCAAAGATTTGGGAAGACATTGAGCAATAAATATCCACGATCAAAATAGTGAGATCTTTTAGGACAGCAAAGAAAACTAAGTATTTCTAAATAATATCAGTAAAACGCTAATAAATAAAAATTCGTTTATGTAAAAAAAAATATTTACCCTCGCATCGTTGATCGTTTTTATAACAGGACCCTGTGAGGTTCGAAATGTTGGAAGTGGTGTTTGATAGCCGGCGATACTTCTCACTGTGGAGTCCTAAAAAAACAACATTGGTACATAAATAATTACATAATAAATTATTATTTAAATTAAGGAACGATTTGAAGGCTCGCGCGCTCGTTAGCCCAACGATTATTTTAAGTAGCCTTACATTAGATTTGGCGCTATTCCGCTGCGTCCTGGCGGTGCTTCCCCGCGAAGGAGGCGAGGACGGCCGGGGTTCCCCGCTGCCACTGCCACGCCTCGTGATGCTGTTTTGATCACTAGAAAAATATTTACCCCCTTAATAATACTCAAATTTTTATTGCTTTAAGCTTTATATCTAATAAAACTTACACGCTCGTTGAACAGTTTTTTAAAGTGACGTTTAGTGGGAATGTCATTAATTTTAAAACAGTGTTCAACAACTGTGTAACTTTTTATTAGTAAGGGGGTTAGTAAGTAGTAGGTGTGTTTATTTGGGAAAAATTGTTATACATACTATACAGGGTGTCTCAAAATTAGCACGTCACACTGACACCCAAGGTAAATGAGCCTAAGACCTCTGCATCCAGTGTGTAGTAATAATTTTGTTTAATCCTCAGTTTATTCCAAATTATTGGTTTTAACTCTGCCACCCAAACAACGTTTATTAAAACAAAAAAATGCCACTCCTAAAGGCATTGAGAAGAAAAAAGTTAATAATACACAATGAGACGGCGTTATTACAGGCTCTAAGATTAAAGAAAAAGAAGAAAATTAGTAATAATATTGACTGACCTTTTGTAATTGATCTTTTGACTGATGTTAGTCTTGGGTGTTCTCACGCGCCACTCACTGGATTCCTTTTCGGGCGCCTTACTAAAAGCTATAATCGAAAATTATTTACATTATTAATAATTACTATGGATGTTTTCTAAAGTTTCAGAGATGCATAATAATGATGATTATGTCAACACTATGCGCTTCAATGTCGCTCTAAACAAAATAGGAGCCATAATATTTTGTACTACTTTACATACAATTTTAAATTCACATGAGTAAAAAGTACCTATAGTAATCTTCAATATAACTTACCTTATCTAAGAAAAAACAACACTTATTTGCTCGACACGTATTTGGTGCCAACTTTGCGCAACGCACCGCCAATACCCAGATGCTATCATTGCAACTCTCAATACAGGGACGGCAGCAGAAGTACTTTTTCCAAAAGGACAATTTATTTTCTCTTATGTTGTCATTAGGATCGTGTTCTTCCGAGAGTGTTGTGTTTTTTATCACGCATCCTTTCAGTTGAGTCATAGGAGTCCGAGTTGGCTCAGTCAGATCGCAAGACGTTATGAAAACCTCGTCATCTTCATCCGTTCTCTCTGTGTGAGGAACGAAACATTCCATCAGTCACCCAACAAGTGATAAAATATTTAAAATAACACTGTTTAAATTTTTTCTTTGATCTTTAAACCGGTATTGGCAATGCGTTGCGTAAAGCTGTAAAAAATATAACACAAACAGTGTTATTTTAAATTATGAATACAGATGTTTGAATTTTCCTGACACACTTGTAAAATAACACTGTTTGGTAACGCTACTCAAAATTACTAAATACCTAATTCACTTTCTGCTTATGATGACAAATTAATGTATGGGCTGAAATCGATTAACTGCTTCATGACGTAAAATGGCGTGCAACCTAGGCTAACAGGATGAGGGAATAGTCGCTATTCTACCACAGGCATTTTTACCTTCTCTGACTCTCGAAGCCTGCGCTCTAATCGGAGGAGTGATATCCGACCGCGTCTGCCGATGCATCGGAGGCGGGGGCGACGGAGACTTGCTGAAGACCACAGGCCGCTGCTTGATAGCCTTCTCAGCGATCGAGTACACCCCGAATTCGTGTGTGGGTATCTTCTCCGTGTCTTGATACGTGCGCTTTCTGTCATAACGGAGCATTTAGAACACACACGGCTATTTTCAATTTTGTCTAGTCTACTAATCAGTTATAGGCTAGGCTGGTTACAAATTGCATAAAATCTATCTATTAATTACAAAATCATCACCTGTTTACCTATAAACATTTCCTTGCTTGATCAACCACGGCTCTAACTGTTCCAGCCAACCCTGATAAAACATAATTTCAACTAATCACATAACACAATCAAAATTTCAAGTACAATATTTAATTTGAGGGTCCAGAAACGAGGAAAAATAAACTAGTGCACGTGTGCCCGAAAAATTTTACACCTTGATGGAAGAGAGAGGAAATTTGAATACCTGTTGATGGCCAATGACAGAACCAGGCCTGCAGATTCTCATCCATCCTATAGCTTCGTGAGAGGTCATGCGGTAGTGCTTGATCAGATAGCAACCGATCAGTGAGCCAGTGCGCCCTAGACCTGCCTAAACAAATTATTCATCAGTATTTTTCAATTTTTAACTGGATATTTACCATTTAATCTTAATGACTGAGAAAAAAATATACTTTTAGCTGTGGCATACGCAATTAAAATAGTAAATTCATAACCTTGCAATGAACTGCAATAGCGCAATCGGATTCTTCGCTGATTTGCAGAAATTTGAAGAGAATATTTCGAGGTGGACATGACCCGTCGGGGAAAAATAAGTCGTAGTGAGTTATGCCGGCGTTATTAAATCTGTAATGTTTTTGTTTTAGGTAAGTTACAAAAATGTTAAATGAAATATAAATTATTGATGTCATTTATAAAACTATACTCACACATTACCATCGTAAAGCCTTTTGTTTAATCTAATAACAATTTTTACATCGTTTTCCAGAAAATAGTCTATGTACATTTCTGGCGGATGGTATAAAGATACGCTGCAATCCACTGGCCCAATAAAAGCCAGAAACTTTGCTAAAACATGATCATTTTGAATGTAAGTACTTACATAAAATAAAATTCCCAGATCCGCTGTAGAAAGTATTAAAAAAAATTAAAGAAACTTTATTTTACCAGGAACAATCCAATTCAAATCGCCACCCTGTATTTTGTCAAGTCTATCATATTCTTCGTAGTTGAAATCTTGGAAATTGAAGAAACCCAAATCTCTTGCCTTTTTTATAGCGTTGAGACAATCGATCAGAGATATTGTGTATGCAGAATCACCTTGTGTTGCATCTTGAAAAGGTCTAAATAAAGAAAGAAAAGAAACAGAGTTAGCCTGAATTACAATTTTGTGACCAAAACTGGATAAATATAGGTAACTTAGGTTCAAGCTTGATAGCTGAAGAATATACGGGCTTCACACTTGCCGTAGGTACCTTTATTTAAAAAAGTTACACTAAACGCTTTTTTACCCATTTAAAATGAGTTTACTACGAATTCTCGCACCGCTTCAGCGCCATCTAGCGGGGAGTAGTATTAAAAGAGAATCGATTAATTACGTTACATTTTAAACAAATCTACAGATAAGAAGTACAGAACTTAGGAAGTGAATCTAAGTGAATATACATACCGATAACTCTGCCCATGAACCAGAAGAGGCTTCAGTGCGTCTCTTGGTGATAAACTTAAATACAAAACACCATAACATCCTAATACGAAAGCTGCGTTCGCCTTTTTCTTCGGATCTATCGATGTGTAATGAACTATTGCTTGCTTATTCAAATGCTGCTTTAATTTTTCATTCAATATCCTACAGTATTTATAAACGCAACCCAAGTTTAGTGGCCCAAAATCGGAATAATAGTTCTCGTATATTAAATCGTTGTCTATACAAAAATAATGTGTATCTGCAGTACTTTTGAGGGTCTTCCCTTGTCGCACTGTTGCAAAATATAACACATTTTTAATATATTCTGCCATAAACAGAATATCAGGGCTGCGCGTCATGGCTGCACCAAAAATGGTAAATATAAACTTATTCGATAGCACATTTTATAACTAAAAAACACAGTCTGAATAAAATAACTATGCACTATGATTTCTTCGCACAAACATATTTCTAAATAAAATTTACAAAACTAAAATATATCTCAAAATCAAAATGACACTGTCGTTATCTCTCTTTTGTTTTAAAATTACCGCCACATTGACTGTTAAGATGGCCTTACTTGATTTATTTTCGCAAAGCCTCCTTGTATGTTTTAATTAATTATATTGTGAACTAACAAAACATATTTTTATTTACAAAAAAAGGAAATGTTTCTAATTTATAATTTGCATGTTGACTATATATAATAACTAGTTGTAGTATTTAGGAGTAATTGGATGGTCCAATTCTAGAAATCACTAAGTCCATTTTCATAGTTTTTGACCTGACAACACTGAACAACGTAGCTTTTTTTTCTCTATGGACTGGCGCAATTAATTTTTAACTTAAAAATCCCTTTCCGTGTATTTTGTGAAATACTTTAACACTAAGTCCTCTCTTTCCAATTCAAGAAATCACTATGTCCTAATATCCCTTAGTCCTGTCGGCTCAAATTAACAAATCCCTAAGTCCATTAAATTATCCCTCTGTTTTGACTATCAAAAAAATTTGCCACTACCCCGTAACAAATATTGGCGACGAATATTACCTTCGCCAATTATGGCTGCATAATTTTGATGTGCACAATTTACGAGAGAATACTGCAACAATGTACATATACACCGAACAATATGCATTAAAAGGACCTCATGAAGCTATTTCAGCTTTAAATGATTACATCCTAAATAATAAAAAAACCGGCCAAGTGCGTGTCGGACTCACGCACAAAGGGTTCCGTACCATTGATTTATGAAATATATTTTTTTTTAATTTAAGTTATTTGTATGAAAGATTACGCGGTAATAAGCGGTTTACGATTTACGAGGTATTAAAAAAAACTACTTACTAGATCTCGTAATGTACATCATAATGTTTTTTTTAGATTTTTCATTTTCTTATTTTAGAAGTTAGTGGGCGACTTTTTTCCACTTTGGAAGCGTCTGTCACGCAAACTATTCGGTTTAGAAAAAAAATGTAAATTAAAAGTACACATTATAAAGAAAAAAAAAATTCAAAATCAACTTTGTATGGATAATTTTTGTATTATTACTCCATTTTCTTCCATAAACTTTGAATTTTTGATAAATTTCAATATCCAATTACAACGTGTGATATAATATCATTGGAAAGAAGAGAAGCTGGAGATATTTTTAAGATTATTGGCAATCCATTATCACCATTAATTTTTGTTTCAATTGAATTTGAAGTAGAATTTTTTATCGTGGTTTGTACTTTTGTTNTGACCTGACAACACTGAACAACGTAGCTTTTTTTTCTCTATGGACTGGCGCAATTAATTTTTAACTTAAAAATCCCTTTCCGTGTATTTTGTGAATTACTTTAACACTAAGTCCTCTCTTTCCAATTCAAGAAATCACTATGTCCTAATATCCCTTAGTCCTGTCGGCTCAAATTAACAAATCCCTAAGTCCATTATATTATCCCTCTGTTTTGACTATCAAAAAAATTTGCCACTACCCCGTAACAAATATTGGCGACGAATATTACCTTCGCCAATTATGGCTGCATAATTTTGATGTGCACAATTTACGAGAGAATACTGCAACAATGTACATATACACCGAACAATATGCATTAAAAGGACCTCATGAAGTTATTTCAGCTTTAAATGATTACATCCTAAATTATAAAAAAAACCGGCCAAGTGCGTGTCGGACTCACGCACAAAGGGTTCCGTACCATTGATTTATGAAATATATATTTTTTTAATTTAAGTTATTTGTATGAAAGATTACGCGGTAATAAGCGGTTTACGATTTACGAGGTATTAAAAAAAACTACTTACTAGATCTCGTTCAAAACAATTTTCGTTGGTAGTTTTTATAGTAATGTACATCATAATTATGTTTTTTTTAGATTTTTCATTTTCTTATTTTAGAAGTTAGTGGGCGACTTTTTTCCACTTTGGAAGCATCTGTCACGCAAACTATTCGGTTTAGAAAAAAAAATGTAAATTAAAAGTACACAAAAGAAAAAAAAATTAAAAAAATTCAAAATCAACTTTGTATGGATAATTTTTGTATTATTACTCCATTTTCTTCCATAAACTTTGAATTTTTGATAAATTTCAATATCCAATTACAACGTGTGATATATCATTGGAGAGAAGAGAAGCTGGAGATATTTTTAAGATTATTGGCAATCCATTATCACCATTAATTTTTGTTTCAATCGAATTTGAAGTAGAATTTTTTATCGTGGTTTGTACTTTTGTTGAACTTTGGCGGCTCGTAACTAGCTATTCAATCATTATCTGGATCAGAAATTTATTTTATTTGAATAAAGACATATTCGATATTAATATCAAATAAAAAAAACTGTTGAAATCACGCGAGAAAAAATTTCGGAAAAATCTGAAAAAAGTATAAAAATTGACATATTTTATCTCCTAAACTATAAAACTTTAGCCATAGAAAGTAAGGTTCAATAATTAGCAAATGACCTCCTCTATACGCCTATTAGCTATGGCGGGTTCAGTTCCAGTCACCCTGTATATGTAAGTAATATTGATAAGTAAGTAAAAATGCACGGTAATAATATCATACAGTATTGTAACTTCATAAACACACAAAACGCAAGCTTTTCTTCGAAATTCAAATCTCGGTATGCGCTCGACATGCAAAAGTCGGGGGTGTCGCGAAAGTGCCACAGTAATAAACGGACGATGTGTTGTCGATGTGTTTTTAAACAGTAAGCGCTTAAAAAAATTAAGCGCTTACTGTTATCAAAATAATTACAAGTATCGATTTATAAATATGTCGAATAGAATATATTGTGCTGTTGATGCTGTTTTTGGTTGCATTAATTCCTCAATTATGCACCCAGAAATAATATTAACTTCATTTAAATAAGTAAGAGTAGCAAACATCTTTACAAACTTTTGCATTTTTACTATTACCATGATATTTCTTTTTATTCCTCCTCATCCATGTTTCCAGAAACATTATAAATATAATAATCAAGCATTTTGTACGCCTCGGTCAAGACGCATAAATTTTACGGTCGCAAATTTATAAGATTTATTATTAAGTTTTAACGAAAATATACTATTTTAATTAAATCTACTAATCACAAAATAACATGCATTTTTATCCTATTCCATTCACAAAGTATTTTGTTACTCAAAATAAAATAAAAAATTACAATCACAAAAAACATTCACAAAACTAGATAGAAATTCTAAGTAGGCAGATGTAATGAAATTAGGTACTGGCATGGCAGGTGGGCAGCCCTACCGCATGTTGTCATACCATGACGTACCGCGCGGCTGTTGACATTTATTTCAAAAATATGGCCGAGTTGGAATACTGTATAGATAGTATTACCGTGAAAAATGTGAACCTAAGTTATGAAAATTTTATGAATACATATTATGTGATATATAAGAGTACAAAATTAAAATAACTAAGTCCATAAACTATTGATTAAATATCCCTTAGTCCGTTCATTTAAAATAAGTCCAACGATTTAAAGTTTAAGGTTTATCGGAACTATTTAAGATATTGTTGATTTTGTTCCTAGAAATTAAAGAACTTTTATAAAAGTAAAACATACATTTTTATTTCATTTTAATTTCCATTAGTTTAGTTTCAGTATTAAAATTAATAATTCAATACGCCATTTCTCAAAAGTGGAAAAATGGACTTAGTGATTTATAGAATTGGAGCATCCTATTGAAGTTTTATCTTCGTCCTGAAAAATTTTAACTGATATATTTTGTTCATTGTTTTTTAATCTCTTTTATGGATGGATAACTAGTTTTAGCCTGCTTAAATTTCAGTCAGTCACAGAAGACTTTAATCTCGGCCGTGATTCCCTTTCAAAAAGTGGTATAAAACAAATCCTATGTATTTCACTGGCTCTTAAACTCCATTCTCTATAGTATGGAACTATGGATGGAGTGAAATATTTCGTCGAAAGCAATTCATCTAGAAAAGATAACAGAGAGACACAAAGAGTACCTACCTACTTTCGCATTTAGTGAATGTTTATACTTATAGAGTCCCATCTTTGTCGTAGGTATCCTCGAAGATAAACCTAGAACCATGGCTACATGCCAGCTCTTCAACCACAGCTGGCCGTGGTCGTTTGATATTCCACCGACTCCCAAACTAGGGGGCTTGTCATCAGATAGAGATTGATATTGACTCTTCCGATTGGTCAATTTTACGATCAAACAATAGATGAAGCGCTTCCTGTGTTCCCAAAACTTTCATTGGGTAAAACAAATTGTATTTCAATTACTAGCTTTTACCCGCAGCTTCGCTGGCGTGAATTTCTTTGTCACTAAACCGTAGTAAAACCGTCTTTACATGTTTCTCTGTAGTTTAATAAGTGTTTTTAAAACAAAATCATAACGTCTTGTCAATAAAATTCAAATTTAAACGATATCAATATGACAAGTATTGTCAGGAAAAAACGGAATTTAGAGAACGTACACTGCATTGTTGCAAAATTGGCATTGCAGTTTTTGTGCCATAACCTTGAATGGGCACTTCTGTCACATGGTGGTTCTGTGACCGGACCGACTGATCCGCATGACATTAAAGTGACTGTAGTATTTTTAATTAATGTCATTAGGAGATGAGTGAAAAGGATAGAATTGTATGAAAAAAGCCAATCTGCGTTCCGTACTTTTGTTTAAAACTGCGTTAAGGTTACGCACCGCTAAACAATGAAATCCTAAACTTTTCTGCCGCCAAAATTAGCGATTCGTCGTCTTAAAAAATATTATTGTAACGTAAGTAAACGTAAGTAAATCCAGTGGGCTGACTTTACGTCGCGTTGGCGTACTCTTCTCTCATGAAACAATAATGTTTGTTTTCATAACGCATGTGTATGCATTCGATATTATTATTATTATTATCGATATGCCACGTTGACGGCTTAACGATATATTGTGTGGAGTTGTTTACTTCACGGTTCAAATGTTAGAAATTAATGCCCTTCACAAAGGAGTTGCCA